CTAACAGAAGTGGTTCGACTGTATTTATATTTATGTTTATTATATTAATGCATGGCTGGTAAAATTTCTGTTCAGTCGGGTTCGGTTCGGTTCGGTTAGGTTATTCGAATATGACAAAGAAGGAAACGGTTATCAAGGGTTATCTGCTTAAGAGAAAAGATGTCTTCGCGGGGGACTTCCTAAAAGATACTGACTCGTATTCAAGTTACATATGGGGAAGATTACCCAAACCAACCACGCAGCCAGCTCGTTCGCCTGGGATTGAACCCACCTCTCAAAATTCAGCGTTTTAACCATTCGCCTTAATCTTCTAGCAGTCGGAATCTTTTCTTGCGACAAACAGTGCTCAGAACCAAGAAGTGTATCAAAAATTCTATGGAAGAAAAATCTTACAGATCTTTTGTAAGCCTATCATTCATCTGACTAATAGTCTCATAAAATGTTTTGGTCCCTAGATGGCACTTATAATATAAATTAACAGTATTAATAAAGTTATACTATATAATTTCTATGCAACTGATAGAAAACGTATGCTGTAATTTATCGTACATCTTAAATTAAGTCAATGTGTTGTAAAGTCATTAGGCTATTTTGAAGCAGGAGAGGTGAAAAATGTGCACTGCTCTCATCAGGACCCTGGACGTTTCGAATACGCATCAAGTATGTTTTCAATTGCATTACGAAGGCTTGTGGGAAGAAGGGATAAAATACCTTATACCTTAGTGCATTTTAAAAATAATCTTTGCCGGAAGTAACTTTATGTAGATTCGTGTCGTTCAGGAAATTAAGAAATCTGATAAAATGTGCCCCAGGATTAGCTGATTTAGGTATTTATAGTTTCTGTTATCCGGAGGCGCCCAGACGGTATAGTGGTGAGGGAAGCCTGACTGCGATATCGAACGGCCCGGGTTCGAATCTGGGAGAAGCATGGATGTAAAAGTATCTGTCATTTCATAGGAGGCAAAGGTGACCCTATTAGGTGCCTCCATAATAAAGAGACCACCACATCTGGCCTTAAGAGTGGCCGATGCCAGCATAGGCAAGTGTCCGTCATTGGGAGAGAGAGAGAAAAAAAAATTCTGTTATCCGCCGTTAACAGCGCAATTCAGAAAGAGGTACACCGTTTTCGATTCGTAAACACACACAAGTGAAAACAAGAGAGAATGCAGTATATTATCGAAATTCAATATGCCCAATATTGCCGCTTCCTACATTACAATAAATATCACAAGCATAGGTACTTGCAACTTTCTTTCGAACCGATATAACGAATATGGATAGAGAGTGAAAATGCTCATAAGCAAACTTCACATATATTTCCTCTTACAGGTAAATTTAGACAACCATTCCTCAGAATTCTCCAACAACAAAATGTCACAGAGTATTTAACTCATATATATATATATAATTAAAAAGCTAGGTAGTAAGTACTGTGCAGAAAGACCTATTTGGTCTTGAACATTTTTTGAGCAATATGCTGCAAAATTAAGGAAATGAGAAGAAGATAAATTGTAGTGAGTTCGTCAAAAAGTTACCAGGAGCTGTGGCTCCAAGAAATAGTTCAACACTGTATTTTTTAAAAAACAGGGACATTAAAGGGTGAAAAATTAGGCTACACGCGAAGTAAAATGTAGAATAAAGAGGGAGCTAGCCTGCTTTACAGTGTTTTTTGTAAGGAAGCTTTACGTATCGTAAAAGTGGAACTGTAAACAGTTTCAGGTAACTCATTAGCTAAAGCTTAAAAAAGTTAAAAACTAAAAACCATCTAAAACTTACTGAAACGTTTTGCGCTTATAGCTGCTAAAAAGAAATAAAATTAAAAAGCTAGGTAGTAAGTACCGTTCAGAAAGACCTATTTGGTCTTAAAATTTTTTTGCGCAATATGCTGCAAAATTAAGGAAATGAGAAGAAGATAAATTGTAGTGTGCTCGCCAAAAAGTTACCAGGAGCTGTGGCTCCAAGAAATTGTTCAGCACAGTATTTTTTTAAAAAACAAGGACATTGAAGGGTGAAAAATTAGGCTATATATATATATTGGTTTCCGCACTCACCCATCTCAGTTAAAATTCCATATACTGTGACGTGTATACGAGTCAGTTTCCCTTAGAATGTCCTTCACGAAGGCGTCCCTCCTCTTAGGCAGATAGCGCTCGAGGCTTTGCCATCATAACATAAACAAACCACAAATCCTGTAGTGTGCTATTGGAAGTCTCCTTTTCTCACTGTTCTGCGTTACCCATATATATATATATTTTTTTTTCATTAACGTACAGAAACTGAATGCTTGGGTTCTTCAGATTAAGTAGAAATATCAAAATCCCTTACTTTTACTTGTATTAGATAAAATATTATTCTGATAAAAAAGTATTGAAAATGCTTTTATAAGCATATGATTCTATTTACTAATCGATATTTATTGCATTCCTTCAATATAATTCTCTCCGAGTGCAATGCATTTATGCCACGTTTTTTCCAATCCTCGAAAGTTGTTTTCATGAAATTTCTTCAGCGCTTGCAGCGAATTGCCTTTTCTTAAATTAATAAATTTAAAACAGTGATAACAATGTTGCAGTTCTTATCATGAAAATAAGAAACAGTCATACGGTGCTAAAAATACACGAAGGCAAGTATATTGTGAAGAAATATATTATCCTGATGCAAAATCCATGAGTTACCTCCCCACAGTTTAGATCGCTTTCTATGAAGTGTTTCACGCTTCACGCTAAGGCCAAAAAAACACTCAAATAATACTCTTTATTTTCAGTTTGGCCAGTTTGTAAATACGTATGGTTGATAGATTTCAATAAATGCCAAAACAACTGTTGAAAAATCTTTGCAAGCGACTTCTTTGCTCGCGATTTCTTGTGTATTTTCACTGAATCATTTTCGATATTCTTTTTATCACAGTAATATACCGTACTATAAAGTATCGAAATAGTTTTTATTCACAAAGAAAAATATAATGTAACATTATGTAACATTATGTAAAGCATACTTGATTAAATATCCATAATGTCTCATTAATACATAATTTATGAATCGTAAATGTATGTTGCACCAATATGTTGTTTTATGTAGCCTTATATTATCCTCATTTCACGTATCCATCATAGGTCAGGGGATCATAGGTTATGGGATCCTAGGTGATCCACCATAGGAGGCAAGACCACTACTGTACATACAGGGTGGTTATAATTAAAGTTACCCTATTTAGATTTACGTAGAACCGAGTCTGGTAGATCTATTTCATTGAAACGTGGTATATACGTTATGGACGACGAGGAAAAGAAAAAACTGCAATAAAAATAATAGTTCAAATTTCGACCACCAGCTAAGAAGGGGCGCATGAACGAAAAACACAAATTGGAAACTTAAAAAATTTTATTTAATCATAGCATTTATTGAGTGTGCATTCCATTTGCGTCAATCACACGCTCAAAGTATGTTATTGCGTATTCAGAGGTAGCGCGAAGGGTTTCTCGATCAACTGCAGCAACCTGGTGTGTTTTGCTTACTTTCAATTTATGCATGGTGAGTATGCTTTCTCCATAGACACAATCCTTCAGGAATCCTAGAAATCATAGTGATTCAAATCCGGAGAATGAGGAGGCCAAGCAGTCAGGAAACATCTTGAAATTACCGACCAGCTCCAAAGCGGGCACGAAGCGATCGATGCCTTCACTAGTCCTACCAATGCGAGGTAGTGAACTATCTTGCATGAAGACAATCTCTAAACATTCTTTTCCTTCTAACACAGGAATGACGTGCTGCTAAAGAAGTTGGCAGTACCAGGTAACTGTGATGGAACACATTTGAACCCTTGATGAGTATTCTCATCAAGAAAAATGGACCAAGAATGAAATCAGAAATATTGTAAAACTACACCATACGGTAATGTAATTAAGATGCAGAAACTGTTTATGCATAATATTAAGACTTGCAGTACACAATATACAACTGTTTTGAGTATTAACTGCTCTGTCTAGGGTAAAATGCGACTCGTCCGACCACAATTAGTTCCAAGGCCATGGGTTGTCAACGGCTATTTTGGCCAAAAGAAGGCTAGTAAGATAAGTGCCTTTGTTCGGTTCTGCAGGATTTACCTCTTCCAGAATTTGGATGTCGTATGCAGTCGTATGCCATCTTGCAGTGGATCGCGGAACCTTCCCTAACATCGATCATGGGGGAGACAAATCCGAGACATCGTTCGAGTACTTGTCGAAGAATACTGGGAACAGGACGCTCTTTCTATCCCGCAAGAGAAACTTCTTCAACAGTTTCACGTGAAATCCATTTCCGCCCTCTCCTCGCAGCACGCACAACTTCCATTTAGTAAAAAATCTGTTTCTGTCCTTTCTTCGCAATACACATAACTCCCATTTAGTAAGAAATCCTTCTCCGTCTTCTCCTCTCAGTACACACAACTCTCATTTAGTAATCATCTTTTTCAAACTCTGCCTTGATATGGGCCCCTTTTGTAGGCCTTTAAAGCCTACTGCACTGCATTATTGTAGCAATTTTTCAGCAATGAAGCTGAAAAACTACTGCTGTTCTGATTTAATAACGTGGTCACTAAGCTCGATCTTTCTTCTCCAAAGGTATAGTGAAGAATGATTTTACGGCATTGACTGCTTCCTTTTTAAAACGCTCCAAATTTGCATACTGTCCTTTTGGCATTGCATGAAAAGCGCCATCTGTTGGTCAAAATTTGAATTTTTAATTTTTATTGCAGATTTCTTTTCCTCATGGTCCAGATAATACATATACCAAGTTTCAACGAAATAGGTCTACTAGGAATAAGTTCTGTGTTTGTCTAAATAGGTAACTTTAATTATAACCACCTTCTATTTTTCATAAGAAATGAATTTCAAAAGATACTTTGAAATTAAATATTTTCAAAAAATGAACACAGTACATGAGAGAGAAAAATTTAATCTGTGTGAGAGTTGTATCGTAAGAAATCAATAAAAATAACACAAAAATAAACTGAAAAGCAATAATGATCTTAGTGTTACTATACTTTTAATAGTTTCATTAAAATGATTTCATGTTTTCACAAACTTTATATGAAGTGCAGCAGCCAATCATAGAAACGAATGCCGTGAAAATTGCAATTGCCTGCAAATATAAAAGAAGAATGGATGAGAAGTCTTCAGTTGTGGTTATAAAATATTCATGAAATTACTAAAGCTAGAAAGTAAAAGACTAAAATTATTTGTCTTAACTCAATGATATAATTATAACTTTATCTTATTGCAGATTTATTCTAAGCGACTAAAGCTGAAGATAAATTTAATAGAGCAAATAGTTTAAAAGAGGTCATGGATTACAGCAGAAATTAACAAAAACAACATCCAGAGAATTAATAAATATTTAGAGGTGTTCATATACATAGCGTCAAATGAAATTTGCTCAGTTACATACATCTGCGTACATTCATTTATGTAATACACATTTAGATTGACGAAGCAGATACCGGAGTAGATGATTTTTTTCTACAATATAAGTACAGATGCGGATTTCAGATGCCCCTTTTTTAAGAATGTTTGTGGAAGAGTAAATACAATAAAACAATACAAGTGCCATAATGACGTAAACTGTTAGACGCATTGATAGCGTAGATACTGAGATATTGAACCACAATAAAAAGCAAACTTAACAGCCAAGGAAGATTAAATATTCATTTTTATTTTAATTGACATTTGAGGCCACAATTCATCTGGCACTCTAATCTTATCTATTTCAAAACGTTTACATTTTTGATAGCTTTGAGGAAAAAGGGAAGTATCAGGCAGCAGTCTATCTAGACAGCAAAGTGCGCAGTTATCCAGTATGGCAATTTATTAAGCGAAAGGTTTCGGTTTAAATTCTGAATTAGCTGCGTCATCATTACTACGCAAAAGTCACATGATAGGACTAATCTAGAAATGACGTAGTCCAGAAAAGTTATTACTATTTTAGATTAGAGATGGAAAGTACTCAAATTAAAATGGGAATCAAGGGACTATTGCTAATTTAAATTATAATTTTAGTTTACATATTTTTTATCTTGCATATATGTGTAACAGATTGGAGTAGAAGTATAGCTGTAATGAATTAGAAAGGTTTACTGCGTACATATAATGACGAAACTTGAAGACAAAAACAACTATTGATAAACTATAATTTGCGTTCACGACGAATCTTAATTCGAAGCAGGTTAGATTCGGTTTCAATACATTTTATACATTTTAGTTGGATAATTAATAATGCTCTAAAAATGCTATTGGTTGTTTGATTTGTAGTTCCATTTACGTATGTCATATGATATGTATTAGTCTAGAAATGACGCAGTCGAGAAAATGTTATTATAAGGAATTGCTATATTTGAAATGGAAAGGGGAAATACTCAAATTAAAATGAAGAATTAAGGGGCTATTGCTAAGTTATAATTTTAATTTACACATTTTTTTATTTTAGATATACAGGATGGTCATTAAAAACTTCCCCAATGTATTAATCCCTAGCTGTCTATCCGCTCAAACAAACTACATGAAATTTAAGGTATTGCTATTTGAAAGTATGTGCTCGAGATTGTAATGATTTAAAACAATAGAGCTTTTGCGGTTACTGCTACAGTCAAGTTATTCGAAATTTTAGAATGACAATACCCACTTTTTTCTGAAACGCTTTGTAAAGGAGCAATAACAACACAGAAAGGAGTTGCATTGACGCACTTTGCATACTTCGTAGGAACAGATAGTAAAAGCACAAATCACAGAACGCCATGTGCAAAGCATTGTTTATGGAAAACCTTTAGTAAGCAGTGTGAATAGACTGTTTCTTCAATCAGGTGTTCGAACGTGCTAGCAACATGACACTTAACAGTGAAACAACGAGATGAATTGATAAAGCTGTTTTATTTGAAGAGGAAAATATTTTCGAACCAGTGGAAGTTTATTGATGAAATCACAAGCTAAGACAAGGCCTATACTCTGTAAAAACTGTACGTGATTTGGTAAAAAAAAATTTGAAGAAACTTGCATACTGCAAGAAGGGTTGCCCACAGTTTGGATGTACCAAAAACCCTAGTCCTAATCTTTAAGTTTCTGCGTTTTGTTCTGTTGATGTTTGCTTATCGACGTGGAGACGAATAACAGCGTGTGGACTTTGCGAATTTTTTCTTCATCAGACATGATGAAAATAGCAGATAATATGCACGATGAGGCGCATTTCTCTTTAAGTAAAAACGTAACTCCAAGAACTGTGTTCCCTATGCTGACGAAAATTCTCACGAAGTGTTCCCAGTGCCTTGACGCGAAGATAAAGTGACAGTGTGATGCGGTAGCGCAAGAACATTCATTCACGGTCGATACTTCTTCGAAGAGATCACTTTCACAGGTATGAAATCGTTCTTCGTCACAAGTGCTGGGTATAAAACAATGTTGCAGAATTACATAATTCCAGAATTGCAGCAGGGCTATGTCATTACTGAATTTCTATGGATGCAAGATTGTACTCCTCCACGCGTCCCCACATGTATTTGGCAAGTGCTGTAACAACACTTTGGAGATAGAGGCATATCCCGTAACTTTGCAGTTTCGTGGCCCCCGACCTCACTCCAATGGATTTCTGATACTGGAGTTACCGTAAATCTAGGTCTACACATCAAATCCACAAGATCTGTTAGACGCCGTAGAACGTGAAATTACACAGATTCCTTCTGCGATGTTACATTCGTCGCTGTTTTCAGCAATATCCCGCATGCTGTGCGTTATTGTCTGCGAAGACGGGCACGTCGAAAACTTGTAATTTCAATAAAAGGTTTTTCCTTTCTCTTCTCTTGTGTTGTCATTGGTCTTTAACAAATATTCTTCTTTGAAAATGTTTTACGCCGGCAATTTTCGTCACGTGTATTGTTCCAACGCCGTTTATAGATTTTCAATGCGCTGATCAATTTACGCAGGAAAAAAGTGGTAGTTGCCATTCGAAAATTTAGAAATGTTTTCATTATAACCGTAACCGTGAAAGCTCTGCTGTTTTAAATCATCCCAAACTCGAGAACATACCTTCAAATAACAATATCTGATACTTCATTTTGATTGGTTAAGCGGATAAGTTGTAGAGACATTAGGTATTCTTTTGAAAGAAGGAGAGATGAAAAATGAGCAATGCCCTCGCCGAGACTCGAACCACCGAGCTCTCGAATACTCACCGAGCGTGCTGACGGGAACCAACCGCCAAATGCTGGTGGTGAAGAATCATAATTCACCACCGTTTTAGTTCAGGCGCCACATAGAGACATTAGGTATTTTTGAAAGCAGGAGAGATGAAAAGTGGGCAATGCCCCGGGACTCGAACCACGGACCCCTCGAATACGCACCGAGCGTGCTGACCACGAAGGCATGCTAAGAAGGAGGGAGAAATACTATACGGTCACTAAAGGCTCAATATCGGAGAAAAGTTTTTTTATGACCACCCTGTATACACTCAATGCTGTTATATATATATAACAGCATATACATATGAACACATAAAGGTTGCGGAATACATGTTTCTTAGGTGAAAAATAATCGTTAAAGAAAGAGTTGCATTATTTAGATTATGATAAATTCGCATGTCTTCGTCGAGGACTTTTTTAAGGGAAACTGGCTCATATTTACGTTGCACACTTAGAAAATCACAATAAATCCCATGAAACTAGGCTTTCGCTGGAATTTGAACCGGATTTGAACTACCAATGCTCAACGTTTTTACCACTTGGCGGCTGGTAAGAACGAAGATTATGTTACTGTGTCAAAAAGGGGAAGATTATATAATTGCGTGAGGTAAAGAAATTGCGAATTTGCTTTATTTCTGAATTAAGTGCCATATTACCGGTTTATTAATAATTGTGTATAAAAGTTTTGGCTTTAATATTATTGAATAAATGATTTCATTTTGATATTTGATGTTTTTAAATATATATGCTTTATCTGTGTTACACTAGAGTCATACGACAGCCATTAATTCTGGAATGACAATTTTCAAATTCAAGTTAAAATTTTATCATACGTACACATGCTGCATAGGTAGAATCCAAACGATGATTAACGTTTTTATGTTATGTAACTTTGGTTGAATGCGTGAATTTAGTGTTTAACTCAAAAACTCATACTAAACTACATTAGCCTTTTGCTGCTCTTTTGAATTAATTAAAATAACTCATCTAACATAATACATTAAAATGTCTAAAAATAATGCAATCGGAGATAAATATGTAAAATAGGACATTTAAATGGTTGTTGCTGAAACTTTAAGACAATATCAATGCAAATAAAAGGAACTGTATATCTCGGAACATTTTAAAGAAGATCAGTAAATGCTATTTAGTACTTTATGAAACTTATAAATAATTTTCGCCTTATACTCGATACAGAAAAATACGTGCAGATACTATTTCATTTATAAGCAGTGTAAAGCTAATCTTTTTTGTAAAGCAAATCAGTATAAAGTAAAACTTTTTTGTAAAGTATATGAAATGTGTGTTAAAATACAAAGTGTTATATGTAATAGTAAACCATAAAGAAAAAGAAAGCAGAAGCTTTCCTGTTTAAGGCATAAAAACACATATTTCCGAGACAAATGCTGATTATTTCAGTAAAATAAATAGAATATAAGTATGCTTATTTTAAATCCAGTGATTATTATTTTCGATACGGAAAAGGAAATATCTCAACGTAAGTGTATTTCACAGGTCAGCTGATAGTCTGTTGAAGTCTTCCAAGAGGATGCATCATCATATTTCTCTTAGTTTGAAAATCATTATGTGATTAAATTAAGTAAAAAGTATAAATCGAAAGATTTGCGTTATATATTTGTATTAAGATTGTTTCGTAAGACATTACAAAACTGAAATGTTGCTGCTAACTTTATAAACAGGAAAACACATCTATTTGGTAGTGCTTTTTCTGCTTGAGCATTCAAATCGTCTTTCAGTAGCCATCACTCTTGTCTTTAAATGAAGTCATTTTATGATCTCTTTATGTGAATGCTCAACCTCATCAAAATGCCGCGAATAAAGGCTCTTTTGATGCTTTTGAGAATGAGCTACTTATATGCGATCAAAATTATTGTGCTTATTTAGAATGAAAAGATTTCCTGAAGTTGATGTACATCACACGCAGAAAGAACTTTTCAGCAAAAGAACGTACGCTATAAACATTTAAGATGCGGAAGACAAATTTCGGTTGCATAACAACTTACAAGCATTTCACTTCCCGGGTAGCTGTTGATGTTGTATACTTGAGATTGAAGTGGTCATTTTTACCAATATCTATTTTAAGTTTTCTTTGAAACAAATGAATTATTTAAAAAAATTGAACTTTCATTTCCTTATCTTTAATTAAATAGAATTTTTCTCATTAGTTAATTATGATATATTTTGCTACTATACTTTACGACATAAATTAGTTTCGTCAAATATTATGTCAACATTCAAGAATTTTCCAATATCAAGGCAACAAATTTTGTTACTAAGAATAAAACCTTCACTTACAACTTTAAACATTTAAAAGTCTAAAGATATTAATATCTGTCTACTTGATGCTCAGTCCCATTAATTAATTTCAGAGCTCATATAATGGCCTAAAATTCATCTTGTGTCTAGAAATAAACTCGTATAACTTGAGGATTAAATTGTCAGTCTGGATTTTATATACTAATTTCAGAAGGCCACGAAAACAACTACTCGAATATATAATCTGTGGTAATTCGTACCATATTAATGATTTACCAGGAGATATACTGTTGTTCTCCTTTTGCTTAATATCATAATTTAAATTCGTGCAGATCTGGCATTAAATGAGGCTAATCTGTGGTACCTGGTTTATACCATTTTCATCCCAGTCAATTTACATGCCTTTTTAACCATGATTACTGCATTTGGTGAAGGCTGTATGTGCATTTTTCTTGGTTAATTGACGGCTATTCTATTTAGGTTATAGAGAAAAGGTTGTTTTAAGCAAGAATTGGGCTAAAAGAGAGATAGGAAAATGGAATAAAAGACGTAATTAATATGTTCAAACAGAAAAATTTCATAGAAAATCAGCTGGAAAACTAAATGAGCTATAAAATCCAAAAAACGATTTTTTTTCCTACAATGAAAGCTATTTACAACATATCTAGAAGTAATCAGGAGATATCAATGTATCGTGCTCACATAATAAATGTACTGTATTTCGTACTACAAATTTTTATATTAATATCTGTCTACCAAATCATTAATATGGTACGAATATGGTAAATCATTAATATGGGTAATATGGTAAATCATTAATATGGTACGAATTACCACAGATTATATATTCGAGTAGTTGTTTTCGTGGCCATCTGAATTTAGTATATAAAATCCAGACTGAATTTAATCCTCAAGTTATACGAGTTTATTTCTAGACACAATATGAATTTTAGGCCATTATATGAGCTCTGAAATTAATTAATGGGACTGAGCATCAAGAAGACAGATATTAATATCTTCTGCATACACGTTTTAACAAGAATAAAAAGCATTAGATGTCTTTACTGTTTTGTATGTTTTCTGTGTTTAAAGAATTCTGACAAAAGGATATAAAGGTATTTCTGAAAGAATCATTGATCGAAAAAAACTTTTTATTATCTTTTTCTTGCCATTTGTGTATTTAAATAAGCCCAAAATAGTGATTAAATAATTGAAATTAATTTGTCCGTTAGAAGTAATTCCATTTGATGAGATTTAAGATTCTAAATAAAATAGATTTATAGAAGTTCGAAAAACAAGAGACCTGACCAAGAAACAACGAGCCAATGCGCGTAGCGTTAAGATAAACTCGATTTATTCCACATCGTTTTCACATCCTTCGCTTTCCGCAAGTAATACATTTACTCCATGGCTTCAGCCATTTTTGGAATTCACGTACTATACTGCTACTCTTTGAAAAGTTCTTCCGATCTACTTTTCGCAACTTAAATGCGAGTATGCTAGTGAGAGATGCTTAGAATTCACCGTAATTAACGTTAATATTATTCTCAGAACAAATACAGTAGTATTCATTAGTCAAGATGTTGAAAGTCGTAAATGTTATTTTGCAGGCAATATTTTAATATTTTTCCTTGCGTCTTGAATGCCAACGAAAGACACTTGCCTGCAGTATTGTTTCATCCTAATAACCCTGATGCAACATGGGGATTTTCTGCCATCAGTTTCCTTAAATGTGTACGAAATTTTATTGTAAATGGCAAAATATAGCATATGTATCTATGTCTAATTGGCTTAAAAGGATGAAAAATAACATTTTCCTTTTAAACACTTGTCTAACCATTTTTCATAGGTATCAGTAAGAGCAATGAACCTAATTCATATTTTTCAGGATTGGAATACCTTGAGAGGACCATTTATCGCATTTTCCCCTTGACAACAAGTAATGGATGTGCACATTTTTGGTTAAACCAAGGCAACAAATTATGTTCTCTGTTAATATATTCTTGTTTTTTTAAACTTCGATATGAAATCAAATATACAAACTTCACTCACACCTGCAGTTCCTATTTCTTTCTCTTCTTTTGACTCGAAACTCTTGCATTCCCAGATGGACGCTGTTCCTGTTGCCACTAAAAGTGTAAAGAACAGAAGATCGTGCACACAAATCTGAAAAAAAAAAAAAAAAAAAAAAAAAAAAGGAAAACAAAATTTTAGTTTGCTTTTATTTTACATATTTTTACGAGGTTAGATTCAACATAACTTGAATTTCTCTGTTTATTCTCAAACCTCAGAATAATTCGTACTGTTAGCGTACAGTGGTGTACACTGGATACGAGATTTTCAAGATACGAGTAGACGTTAGAGCAATTTTTTTTGTATCTAAATACAAGTAAAATTAAGGATACGAGTTGTTTGCTCTACCACTACCAGCTGGCGCTGCGCACAAAGCGAAGAGAAGCTCGTTCTTTTAGTTTACGTAGCTACCCATATTACTTGTAGATGCATCTTTACAATATTTCTTGCTCGCTTTCTGGCATTCTTCACGTGTTTGTGCAGTTACTGAAACAAGGAGATAATGAAGGCAACAGCGCCAGCAAGTGCATTTCAACAATACCGAAACCACGGATAAGAAGTAAAAAGACTAACTTAAGTGAAAAGACGGATAAGTTGCCGTTTGTGGGCTGAAGGAAAAGAAGCCGAAAGGAGATAGCTTTAACCGAGGACATCATCGGCGAGAGGGCAAGAGTTATATATGCTGATTTGAGAGGATCGTAGCTTTTCAAACAATGAATCTGAAGAAACATTAAAATCACGTCGAGGCTGATTTGAAAAGTTTAAAAGGCGAATTCAAATTGACTCCGTCGTCAGAGTGGTGAAGCAGCAGGCTCAGATATGAAGGCAGTGGATGAGTTCTTCGAAACTTTCGGCGGCACTCATAAAAGATAAAAAGTTACATCCTAGTTACTGCTACGATCTTAAAGTGACAATTTCAAAGTAACATACTGCAGTTTTGCGATGACGTTCGTGAGGAGAATGGTGTGATATTGAAATACAATATCGTAAATGGTTAGTTACTGATTGGATATTTCGCTTGAAAAGTAACATTAACATACTACCTATTTAGTTAATGTAAATTTTCATAAAACAGGCTTTGTAAATTATTTTCGCCTTGTAGAGTTTTTCACTGTTACTATATTAAATGAACGTTGAGGAACCCAGTGAACTGTTAAGCTACTTATCGCTGAGTTCAAATAACTAAAGTCGTAGACTCAAGAAAGGTTATCTACCCTTTATTTCACTCAAAATAAGATGAACAGTTTGCCTCTTTCTCGGGCGTACAACAAAGCCTCCACTTGGGTTTAAACTCAGAATAAGAAATGAGAACTAAATTAGAACTAAGAGACTTAGCCGAAGCTAACACAATTATCTAACGTAGTTGGCCCTTAATTTAAACTAGTCGGAGACTATTAAAAGGCACGTAATATATGGCCGAGCGTAACAGCTTTAAGAGAGATTTAGTCCGAAAACAAACACGCGCCACTCAGGATTTCTACCTCTCTCTGAGGAAGTAAGTTGAACCTTCCTTAAATACTACTTTAAACTCATTTGCAATCAACGCGATTCTAAAAATTCATTCTGGTAGGAAGTTGTAAGTGGAAACAAGAATCGATAGGAAAGCTCATCGAAATTAAAACATTTGCTATAAAATTAACATATAGTTTACAACCTTTTAGGCTTTCTGGAGACAATAACTCTGCATAAATATAACTGTGAGAAATCAATGATTTACGAAAAGGACAGATTGAAAATCGCACTCTAAGTGAAAAATCAGAAAACAATTCAGAAGACAAGAATGATTATATTCAATATTATATCTTTGCTCAAGTACTTAATTTGTCCATAAATATTCTAATCATAATTGGACTAAGAAGTTCAATGAATACTTCTTTTCGATTTTTCTTTAGATCATTTACTACGAATAACAGATGATGTAATTATTTTACACAGAAAAAACTGTTACCACTGTCTCACATAACCAACGTTTGCAATGAAACATTACCTAAATTAATTAACATATGTAATTAAATATATTTCGTATAAATCAGAATAGCATATGATCGAGATCCTCTGCATTTATGGTGAACTTATGAGCCTGGATAAAATTAAGCAATGAAAGATAATTACCTAGCACATAAACATACTTAAGAGAAATTTCTTAACAGCACAAATTATGAAATTTTTGAAATTGCAAATATATATATACATGTTGGTGTTGGTGTATTTAATTATGGCAAAGCACACTAGGGCTATCTGCCTAAGGGGAGGGATGCCTTCGTGGAGGACTTTCTAAGGGAAACTGGCTCGTATACACGTTACACATGGGGAAAACCACGAAAACGCCCATGCAGCCAGCCCGTTTGCGGGATTCGAACCTCGGACCGAGCTACCAGTGTTCAGCGACTTTACCGCTCGGCCGCTGGTGGGCCCTATATATACATGTATATGCATATATATGTCATATTAAAAGCACAGGAAATACCGGAACACTGTGGAATAAAAGCAAAGGAAATAACGGAGCAGTGTCGATGCGTAGTTATCCTATATTGAAGAGGAAGTAATCTGATTGCGTCGTAAGCTGTGTTGACTTCGTAAATAAAACTTGGCAGTAGAAGCGATTTTAATTCCATTTTTATTTCCAATTGATATTTGTGGCCACAATCACTTGGCACTCTAGTCGTGCCTTTCCACAGAAGATTTACATTTTTGATATTGTTGGGATAGAAAGCAAGCCAGCGAAATCACATCTTAGCACAGTAGCGAGCAAAAGCTGAAGTGCATAGTTATGCAAGGTGGAGGCACGCGAAGAGAAAAGTTTTGGTTTTCAAGGGCAGTTTCAGTTCCCAATGATTACGTCATCAGAGCTGAGCCGATCATAGAGTGATCTAGAAATGACGCAATGCAAAGAAGTTATTACGATTTTAGAATAGAGAGGAAGAATTAATGTTTATAGTTTAATCTATAATTTTGATTCATATATTTTTATCTTACATATATATATATATATGAAAACATTATATATAAATGTGAGTAGCAGGAGTGCAACAACTCAACACAACTAACGGCATTGCAGTGAGACGAGAGATGGACGATGGAAGCGAAAGAGAACAGTCATGTTTTCGACCAAGACGTATTAATAGATGGCGAACCTGTTAACTTCTCAATTATAACTCTTTTTTTCATTTGTAAATACTCATCATTGTATCTCCATCAATAACTAAATAAATACTTAGTCACCTAAATGTGTGTCGTCAGCGTAGAAATCCCCTAGACGCCGAGTTTACATGGGCGCTTTGACCGGTTCTTCTTCAGTCAAGGCAAGCTGTTCTTTAAGAATCAAATAAAGAATATTTTGAATTCAATTTTGATGAAGTGCAATTAAAGAATCTTTGAATTAAATTTTGATGAACTGCAACTATATTTTTACCATTAGAACGTATTGTGTGAAAAACCAGAACTTTTCTTTTCGAAATCGAAACTCAATTTTTATTTTATTGTATTAACTTGTTTCTGACTTGTGTTCTACGAAATAGTTCAGTTGTGACAATGTCAACTCTAAATGATATACCACATATCGCTAAATCCTTAAAATCAGCTCCCACGAAAGCAATTAAGCTACTACATAAATTTGTGTTTAGTCAAGAAGGCGACCGTGCAAATCACAAACGACTTCACTGGACTAGATAACTCTTTTCACACTGCCGAAGTTAAGGAACGTTTATTAAATATTTTCACTCTGGCTGATCTAATTTTGATTCTTAATGTTCTGAATTTAGAATGTGCCATTTCCGCTGATGAATGTTATACTGCAATTGTGAATGCTTTAACTAATTTCGATTTGCTATTGGAAACTGCTATTTCCGATTCTGATTCTGACAACGAATTAGAAAACCCAGAACAAAAATTAATTGCCGAAAATCAAACAGATTTTGAAACCACTACGCAGTCAATTACTTGTTCGACCTTGGCAGCTAGCCAGGTCATCGCTCACAAATCAAACACCTAGTTTCGGCTTACAAACCTAATAAAACCAAAACAACTGATTTGCAAGTGTCTTTAATTTTGACGGATGAAATCCCTGTTAGTCAACGTCCTCGCCGCTTATCTATAGCTGAACAACGTATTGTAGAAGCTCAAATACAGCAGTGGCTGAACGAAGGAATTATCAAACCTAGTTGCTCCGATTTTGCTGCCCCTATAGTCCTCTGCAAAAAGCGAAATGGATCTTACCGACTATGCATAGATTACAGACGTCTTAACAAGAAAATAGTGAAAGACAATTTTCCTCTACCCCTTATATAGCAAATTCTGGATAATTTACAGAATTCTAAGATCTTTACATCTCTTGACTTGAAAAACGGTTTTTTTCATGTTCCCATGAATCCCCAAAGCAGCAAATACACTGCATTTGTTACACATGAAGGCCAGTATAAATTCCTTAAAGTTCCCTTTGGACTGTGCAACTCTCCTAGCGTTTTTCAAAGATTTATCAATACCATATTCAGACCTCTCATTAGTGATCAGGCTGTTATAATTTATATGGATGATATAATAATTCCATTTAAGGACGAAGAAGAACGGAATTAAAAAATTATGACGAGTCCTTCAACTTGCCTCAGACTATGGTCTAGAAATAAACTTTCAGAAATGCAACTTTCTAAAGAAAAAAATTGAATTCCTAGGTTATGTTATTCAAGATAGCACCATTCGACCGTCACCATCCAAAACACGCGCTGTACAGTCATTTCCTGAACCCAAAACAGCTAAACAGGTGCAAAGTTTTCTTGCCTTAACTAGTTACTTTCGAAAATTCATTCAACATTATGCCAAAATTGCAAAACCCCTCAGTGACTTACTACGTGAGTCCACTCCTTTTGAGTTTGGTCCTGCGCAACAGCACGCTTTCTTAAAACTGAAAGAAGCAATTTCCAGTGATCCTGTTTTGCACCTTTACCAACAAGGTTTACCGCTTCAACTTCATTGTGACGCAAGTAAATACGGTTACGGATCTGTTCTCTTACAACAAAGCACTGATGGTTCCTTCCACCCAATTTACTATATGAGCAAGAAAACTACCCCCCCCCCCAAGAAGAGAAATACTTCAGTTATGAACTAGAAATCCTAGCCATCATTGAAGCCCTTAAAAAATTTAGACATTATTTAGCCGGAACAAAATTTGATATTGTTACAGATTGCCCTGCTTTTGAAAAAACCATGTCTAAAAAAAAAAAAAAAAAAAATAACACCCAGAATTGCTCGATGGGCTCTTTACCTTGAAGACTTTGATTACGCAATAAAACACCGCTCTGGACAGCTTATGAAACATGTAGATGCTCTAAGTCGTTTCCCTGTTATGTTAATTGCCATCGACAGTGTCACTCAAAAGATTATTCACGCACAATCAAGTGATGACTTCATTACGGGGATCAAACATACTTTAGAAAAAACCCCTTTAGATGACTACTCCTTAAAGAACGGTGTTCTGTATAAAATAGTTGAAGACCAAGAACTATTAGTTGTACCTCAGGCAATGCAAACCGAAATAGTGCAAAATGTTCACTCTAAAGATCATTTTTCTGCTCTCAAAACGGAATCCATTATTAAATATGAATATTACATCCCTAATTTATCTGCGATTGTTAAAAAAATCATTTTGAACTGCGTACCCTGCATTCTTTCTTCCAGAAAGGCCGGTAAAGCGGAAAGTTTTCTTCATCCGATTCCAAAAGGCGATACACCACTTGCTACTTATCATATAGATTTTCTGGGACCACTGCCGTCAACAAACAAGAATTAAAAATATCTTTTTACAGTTGTTGATGCATTCTCAAAGTTTCTTTGGCTTTATCCTGTTAAATTAACAACCACTCAAGCTGCTGTCGACAAATTGAAATTACAGCAAACAACTTTTGGTAATCCCCGACGCATTATCTCAGACAGGGGTGCAGCTTTTACTTCAATTGAATTCAAACCTATTGTCATGATGAGAATATTGAACACATCACAATAACTACGGGCGTTCCACGTGCAAATGGACAGATTGAACGCATGCATGGTATTTTGTTTCCCGTCTTAACTAAGCTATCTTTAGACGATTTAGTGGTTTAAACATGTTGCTTCTGTGCAGAGAATCATAAATAGCACTACATCTCAAGCCACTAAGTTCACGCCTTTTGAATTAATTTTTGGAATAAAGATGAAAAACAAAGACGATATCAAAATTAAGCAAATACTTGAAGAGGAACATTTCCAATCCACTTTACAAGAAAAAGAAAGATTACGCGACGAAGCGAAAAACAATGTTCTCAGACTTCAAGAAGAAAATAGATGTCAGTATAACAAACGCCTCAAACAGTCTTACTTATACAAAGTTGGCGATCAAGTTGCACTTCAGCGTACTCAATTTGGAATTGGAATCAAACTTCGTTCCCATTTTTTTGACCTTACAAAGTTACAGCTGTTAAGCCAAATGACCGCAATGAGGTAGAGAAAGTCGGACTACATGAAGGTCCGAATACAACTTCCACAGCTGCTGATTTGATGAAACCATGGCGTTTTCAACAATGAACTCTTAATTTAGAATTGATATACTCTTCAATTGGACATTCTATTTAGTATTTACTACCTTTCATTTTTTTTCCTGTTCATTATTTTTTTAATCAGTTGAAAAGTTCTTTTTCTTTTCCTCTCTACAAAGAATTGTTATATATACAAGATTTATTAAGATGTTCATTTTTTATTGCCTAACCAAGATGTCTCAGATATGCTCCTAAAGACGCTCGAGCATTTAAGACGGTCTGGAGAAATAAAATTTCTTCTTCCCTCAAGATGTTCCAGAGTGATCTATTGACACTCCAAGCAAATGGCGTTCCTTTTTTTTTCCTCAGAACGTTCCAAGATGGTATATCCAAACGAATATTTTTTTTTTCCTTTTCTTTTTTTCTTTTTTTTTTTAATTACTCTTTTCAGATTTTGTTGTAACTCCATCGTCGCCAGGAAGCCCTGTCGTGTCAAGATACCCGAGTGTGAGTAGCAGGAGTGCAACAACTCAACACAACTAACGGCATTGCAGTGAGACGAGAGATGGACGATAGAAGCGAAAGAGAACAGTCATGTTTTCGACCAAGACGTATTAATAGATGGCGAACTTGTTAACTTCTCAATTATAACTCATTTTTCATTTGTAAATACTCATCACTGTATCTCCGTCAATAACTAAATAAATACTTAGTCACCTAAATGTGTGTCGTCAGCGTAGAAATCCCCTAGACGCCGAGTTTACATAAATATATATAAATATATATACAATATACATATATATATATATATATATGAATATAATATATATATATATATGAAATATATTATATATATATATATATATATATATATATATATGAAAATATTATATATATATATATTTCATAATTTCTAATTAATAAAAACATTTATTGATTTATTAAATATTTTCTTATTTATTTAAAATTGCACTTCTTTAAAGTAAGAGATTATTCTCTTAAATCTGTAACTCATATAATTGTTAAATAAATAAAAGAAAATGCATTCAATATTTTCTGAAAATCTTAAAAAAATCTTCCAGTTGAGATATCGAAAGATTTCAAAAGTTTTGCTATCAAGGAATCTACAGCTACGTTAATATAAAATATAAAAAAAGTGAAAAAAGAATTAAATACTGATTTCACATTTAATATGGATTTTACATTACAGTTAATTCTTTTGCATTGAGTTGCAGAACAGGAAGGTGATCAGAAGAATTGGTATTCTTAACTTCCAAGTGAGGTATTTGCAAAATATTTTTGAGAAAAAGAATGTCAAGAACTTCACTATGGTCGTTAATGTGAAATGTTAAAGGTGTTGAAGGATCCATAATTTTGATTCTATAGCGAATAGTAAACTTTTCCTGAATGCTTCCGTTTACATTAAGAGATTCTTGAGTTCTAGTGTACTCTTTTAGCACAGAAGTCACCTGCACTGATAGCTAAGGATGAAAAAAGGTAACATTATTAAAATATTGCTAAATAATTAGATTAGATGGACGATTATAAACTGGAGTAATATTTTTCTTTAAATTTAGTATAAATAATTGGAGCAGTAGTTTAAATATATGAGATAATTGGGAGTGAATAAGGAATAAATTTGATTATCTCTGATAATTATGGCTGTTTCACAGTAGCCGTGGAATTTTAGTTTATCAGAGAGCTAGTTCACTAAAGGAAAGAAGATGAAGATGGGCTTCAAAGGAAAGAAGAGAAAATGGAAATGAAGACGGGTTTTATTGATCATCTTAATATCATTTTTTGTGAATGAACGCATTCAGTAATTTGAGATTTTCGACGAATGCCATTCGCGCTGAAATAGGAAAAATTTCTGAAACAATTTACTGTTTGATTTGGATTCCTAATGAAATGCTGAGGATGGTCAAAATTCATAATCCAATGATGCAATAAATTATAAAGTTTCGATCAAAACTTATGTAGAAAGGATTTAGCTACCTTTAATTTAATAAGTAATTTTTTGCCTTCTTTTCTGATACATTCAGTAAAAGAAGGGTTTTCTTCTTTTTCCGCAGCATTGTTAACGTTGGTAGTTGCTCTGGAATTTCGGTAATCCTTCTTCTATTGGAGATTAACATTGAAGTTATTGGCCTATTATGAAGAATTATATTCGGTTGATTTTCCTTTAGTTTCAAAGAGGAAAATTATTTATATCATGGTCGTAGGGTTTAGACTTTTCTCAATTCTAGTTTTATGTACTTTGGATATTTTGAGCAGCCTATATAACTTGAGATATGGTAATGACGTACAATTTGCATATGTTCCTGGTCACCTTCTTTCTTGCTTTCCCACTTACAAATTTCGTGCGATCCGGTACATTTCATGCAGCTAGCAAGATTATGACAGAAGGTTTGGTCATGGCCAAATCGCAGCCAATTATGATACTGTCGAGGTATTGTTTTGATTTGAGTTTACATATGAGTAATTTTATAGATTTCTTTGCCTTTATTACTTTGCTAAGTTTCAACAAGAAATACTGGCAAAGGGGTGTTTTCTCCACCTTCATATTTTGTTAGTTGACGAACTCTGATTACAGGAATTTCTTTTTCACTCTAAATTTATCTGATCAAATAGATATATCAATGGGTAGATTTTTAATAACGGCCTTAACTGGACTATCTTTATAGAGCGTATATGTGTTATCACACATGGACCTTTATAGGGAAAGAAGCTTCGGATTTTGCGATAGGCATTGTTTATGCCAAATGCTCGTATTTTTTTATTTCCCATAAGTTCCCCTTTTATTTATCCTACTCCAAGTCCTTGTAGTTATTCTTTAAGTACAGACCATTTTACTTTGGGTTTGTAATCACAAAATAAGGAAGCTTCCCTGCCACTTTGGTAAGTTGCTCAAAATCTGAGCCATTGTCTGCTTTTGCGGTATCCATGCCATTATTGCCATTCAAAGGTGGAAGTTTGCAGGTCTGACAAATTTACAAACTTCAGGATTGCTACAAACTCTTATTAATGGAATTTTTAGGAATTCTTACTTATCTTTGAAATTTGCGGTTGAAGGAACTGGTTGTGAGAGAGAAATTACTTGTCTTAATATACTGACTTGAGTTGAAACGTTTGGACTTGATCATGCTGTAACTTCAGTCTATAGAAGCTTGTATGTAAGTTTACCATTCATTCACCATTCATTGATAATGTATGTAAAAAGTAAATTTCCTTTCACGGCCATTAAATAGCGGAATTTTGTGCCCGGTGGCGCGACTGTACTGCAGTTAGGAAAATTACGTATGGTACACCATATGTAATATTCCCAGGTGTTATTATTATTTTGAACCCCATTTGTACACCTTTACCCTCTGTGTTCTACATTAAATTTTCTATACTTTTATCGATACATTTAAATCCACATCCATTTAAAGGAAGATCCCAACATCACTCAATTTGTTTCACACGCTTATTCACCAAACAGGTATATAATTGGAACTTTTCCTAACATATTTGAATATATTATTGATATATTTTCTTCCTGAAATTTTCGTTCAGGTGCAGTCACATTCACTGCATTTTCTGGCAGATGATACAAAACAAATCGAGATTTCAAACATGGGATTTAAAATTTAATTGCTAATATTCATTTATATACGTAAAAGAATCTTCTCTCGTAATCATCTTTTCTGAAATGTTTTTACCAAACAGTACTCCATTTGCTTGAAATAAAATTATCTCGAGGAAGTTTCGACAGCACAATCTTTTTATGATATCTTTCGGAAATAGATAAACACTAACATACCCTTTGTTCTACTTACTGTGGAACAAAGGAGTATGTTAGTGTGGATTTACAGTTAGACGCACTGCACTGATGAAACATTAATGATGCCGTAAATTGACAATAATAAGAACTTGCGTCATGGCCGCCTTCTACGTACTCGCCTTCTCTGCCCTGTAACCGTTTACGTTGAAGAGAATGGAAGGGATCAAGGGTATTCCTTCTGTAGGTGCTTTTGTGGTGTCACATCCAGCTAGCAGTAATCAGATCTGCAATTCAATTATAAAGGGATTTTCATGTTTCCCTCTCCGAAAAGTCCGAATATTCTACAGTTGAAAAATGAATTTGATTTACAGAAAAAAAGAGGTACTGGAATTTAACTTGTCAAAAATTATCATGTTCCATAGACTCATGCTTGTGTGGTAAAAGTTTTTAGCACATTCATTTTGGCCATTTGAAGATATATGGTTTGAATTTATGTCACGACACAACTACGTTTTTGTATTTCCCTCACCCTAAAGCTTGTAAGGGGTTAAAGTGCTGTCTTAACTAAAATTATAATTCTTCACTATCTGGATTTAATCTACTAGATCTTAATTCTCTCCTCAGGTCGGGAAGAATGTAAGAAATTATTGCATTCCCTTTCCTGTGCTACTGGGTGCATGGAGCTGTTTCGAAAACGTGTTTCGTTCTCTTGGTTCATTTGAGATTCAAAACCGAAATAGAATATATTAAATTTTCATTTAAGACACTAAAATTCATATAAAACCGAAAACTCGAATCTCAAATGTACTAGGATTTCCCCTACACGCCTTCGAAACACTTGGTAAAACGAATAAAACATAACATAGTGCTAAATTACCAATAAAAACCACAAAACTTTACATTATGTAAAAAGACCGTTCAAAAAAATAAAATTGGTCTAAAATCATTATATGCAGATCCGAAATTCAAAAGCAAATAAATATAGAGAGTAAAACAAATGAACTTTAAACGAAATTGTCATTTAAACAATACTAAAAAATGGGAGGCTCCCGATTATGGTAAACTAAACTTTTAATGCCAAGAAAATGAAAAACTTTGCACAAAGATTCTTTACATTATAAGGTATGTCTCCAGCCTACCTAGCGTGACTTCCTGGTGTAGTAGTTTTGCACTCTGTGCCGGTATTCCAAAGGTCCGTGGTTCGATTTCCGGCGAAGCCATTTGCTAATTTTTCATCTTGCCCGCTTCCAAAGAATACCTAATGTCTCTACAGTGGTTCCCGAACTAAAAGGGTGTTGGATGATGATTCTCCTCACCCAGGATTTGACGATTGGGTCCTCTAAAAACCGAGTCGCCCTTTAAAAGGGGGAGTATATAAGGTATTTCTCCCGCCTTCCTAGCGTGCGTTCATGGTGTAGTAGTTCTGTACGCTTGGCCAGTATTCCAGAGGTCCGCTGTTCTATTCCCGGCGAAGGTGATTGCTCATTTTTCATCTCTCCGGATTTTCCAATTATCCTAATGTCTCTACAACATAAAGTATCAAAACTGAGCTTTATCAGCTAAAAAACTGGAAACGAATTAAAAACAAAAATTGAAAAAACACAAACTTACTCAAATCTTAGAATGACCTTCTAAATGAAAATATACTTCATTCTTCAGACAATTAAACTGTGTTCTTTGTAGAATTCAAAGTTGCTCTGTAGCTGCAAAACATTGTAGTTCTTGGAAAAAGAATGCGTTAAGGTTCAAAGTGCCCAGTAGCAGAACTAAGTATTTAAACATGTGTTCAAAATGTCCTATCCTGTTAAACTTTGTGTGCGGAGGTGCCAAATGTTGGGTGCGGTCTGTAAAAATTATTACCTCCGAGGGGGGTGATCGTCGACTCCAAAATGGTGGCGTAAGAAACTTTTAAAAGATGCTGACTTTTGTAAAATCTTAAAACGCGAAAAGAATACTGGCTCAAATTTGAGGAAAAGAAAAAATATACGCTATAAAAGATAAAATTCTTTACGTAATCGAGGTACAATACGTCTTAGAAACTAAAAAATCCCATTTTTTTAGTAACAGCTAGAAGATTTGCCAGTTATTAAATTTGCAAAATAGCAGAAAGATAGTATAAATAATAATTGAAAGGGAAAAGAAACAAAATCTTTGTACATATTTACATTAAATTTCTTATCGTAGTCATCTAACTATTACCTCCGGTTAAGGTTTAAGTAATAATTATCATATCACTTTAGATGAGAAATTTAAAAAATATATATAGTAGTTAATATCAGCTTTCTTTAGAGTTATATAAATTTTGAATACAGGTGTATTATTCTGTAAAATAGTAATCTTTTTCTGCGCTGCGTCATTTCGATATTAGTTCACGTCATATGACTCTTGCATAACAATAATGATGTAAATGGAACCAAAATGCAAGCAGCCAATAATAACTTTACACTAGTACAAACTATCTAATCAAAATACATTGAGAACCAAAACTAAGTCTGAATTAATATTTTTTCCTAACCTTCGGCCTAGCTGAACTGCTACCTGCTGCTCTTTTCTTTCTGCAAAGCTATTAAAAATGGAAACATTTTGAAATAAGCAGAATAAACGTAAATGTGTGCCAAATTATTTGTGTCTACGTGCTTTTTAAAATAAAGATGGATATTTAATCTTTCTCGGCTGCCAATTTCTTAGTTATTATGGATCTACATTCTATGAAATCAAAATTCTTGCCGTTCATTACGGATTCAACATTCTACGCTATACGCAATCAAATTGCCTGCTGTTTATTACTTTTAAGTTTGCTTTTATTACACACACATTTATATATATTTATATAAATGTATATACATTTGTTACTGCCGATTGCAATAAAAAGGGGAGGTACACAATTACATGTTATAACACTGTGATACTCAAAATTTCAAACATTCAACGGCTAATCATTTTGAGTTATACGAAATAGCTACATACAAACAGATATCGCGAAAAAAATCTCTTTCGAATTCATTTAAAATTTATTTTACAAACCGTTTTGGAAAAAAGGAGTCCTTTATTCTATCCATACGTACAGACGTCACGCAACAATATAGTAAAACTGATTTGCGAAAGGTCAAAATGGATATTTCCGTTGAGATATGATACCCGAAAATTTTCGCGATTACAATACTTCCTCTACTTGGTAGAAGGAAGTAAAAAAAGAATGGCGGTTAGTTTATTACAGTTGGTTGTAACAGGCAACAATTGTATGATGCTAAACAAGACTAAAAACTGTTGTTTGCTTTACTTCCATTGTTTTTGAATTCACTTGCTTCTTTAAATGAATAAAGTTGAATGATACGTATCATATAACCCAATGTATGCTTACCAATGGAGTTTCGTATATTTTGGAGGTGGTTATCGCCGTCAAGAGAATGAAGGTACATAGGACAAGATGTGAGCAAGCTACAAGCAAGAGGCACGTTGCTGAAGGGGAAGCTCCGAAATAGTCCCTGTCGAAAAACCCCGCATGGCCGATCAAACCAATGATAGATAAACAACAAGCCTTTAAAAGAACAAGTTTTCAAATTCAAGTAAAAGTTTATTAATTTATACAGCTATAAATGAAAGTACAAATCAGAAATTTATCCAAGAAATATTAACTAGTATGAAAGGTGATAAGAGTTACGATACAGGTGCGTTTCTTTTGATCTGTCTATTTTCTACTCATGTTTATTATAATCTTTTTATGCTAAATTAAACTTTATTCAAATCATTAAATTAATTCATTAAAAATTTTTAACTCATTTTTAAACATATATGTAGTGAAATATATAGATTTTCAGGAATCAGTACACATATACGATACGTACCACTTGGACAGCAAAAAAGAGTTTACTAGAGATATACATTCAAAGGAAACAAACAATCGTCTTTTACAGGTTTCAGGTATTTCCTATGTTGCATTACAGCATAGAACTAAAAATGACTTTGAGTTCAAGTTACATTCGTTTTTCTTAATCTTATCACTGTTCTTTCAAAATATTCAATACAAGTTGATAATATTGAGTTGAATGTAAATGTTGCTATTATCTGCTTTTACAGGTAACGATAAAGAACTTTAGTTTAGTTGACAGAACGCTGCGGGAGGGAAAGGGCACAAAGCTCACTTGGAAAACATGGCTCAGATATTATGATATTCCCAATTCAATTTTTTATAAGTCTAAATATATTAATTTTATCAAAAATTAAAGATTATACTATCCGGAAAAGCGCAATATGCTTATTAAAAAGACTATTGAAACTAATAAAAATATTCAGCAAACGAAATATAAATTAAAATTAAGCAAAGTAAAATAAATTAATTTTTCAAAATCTTTCCATACCATTTATTACAAAGTGTGATTTAATTACACATAATTTAATGTTAGAGGTAGACTTATTAGGGGGCAATTATCTCAAAAAATTTCAATAATTAAGTTTTGAAAATGCATTTCATCCTTCTTAACTATTTGAGATAACTAATTAAACATCCTTCAAAAACTATTAAATAAACTAGAAAGCCTGGCGGTCATACGAAATGACCGCTGTTCTAGATAAATTGTAATTAAAATGATTTGTGCAAAGGTGTCTGCTAATTTAAACTGAATTACCCAAGGCAGGCGACGAGGACGTCCCTTTGCTTACTGCCCCACGGGGTTTCCCCCTTCTACTTGCTTAATTGCTTAAAGTAGAGTGCAATGAAGGAAACCACTGGCGGTACATTTCTTAAGAGCCCACCGCTAGCTCAATCAATAAAGGTAATTTAAATAATGAAATGTTAATTCACATGTCAAAGATCTCTTTGTACACAACATTTCTTGTGTAGATCTTTCCATCATTTTTAAGCTCGCCTTGCAGAGGACATTCAATTATTTTTAATTTTACTTCTGTTCTTTCAAGAACTTTTGTACAGGCAACAGAAAGTTGACCGTGTCCAAATGCAGGCTTATGTAAAAAAATGCCAACACACTTAAGCGTTTGGCCCTGAGACTTATGGATGGTCATAGCAAAGGCAAATTTTACAGATTTTATATATATGGGGTGAAGTAACATCATCTCTTCCGAAACGGCTGGCTCCCGGACTTAGCGAAGCACACCGTTGGATTCCGCAGATCCGTGGCACGCCATTTTGTCCATTCGCGTCTTCTTGGGACTTTAATTAGCCGAGATATTAATTAAAAACTAATTTTCCCCTACGTTTTCTCTACATTTTCCACTTTCTTTCTTGGGCCTTCCCTATTACAGGGATTTGGCTACGTGCCAAATTCTTTTTTCTCGAATATCTACGGAACGGCGCCGAATTGAAATTCGAGATGCGTATCCTCGGATTCCAAAAAATTTTCCGAATCCATCGATACCGTTCTCATCTTCGTACGACTTTAATCGGCCAAGATATTAATTAAAAACTGCGGAAGCGTTAATTTCCGTGCTCATTTTTCCGAGTGGCAACAGAGCCCACCAGCGGCCGAGCGGTAAAGACGCTGAACACTGGTAGTTCGGTCCGAGGTTCGAATCCCGCCAACGGGCTGGCTGCATGGGCGTTTTCGTGGTTTTCCCCATGTGTAACGTGTATACGAGCCAGTTTCCCTTAGAAAGTCCACAACGAAGGCATTCCTCCCTTTAGGCAGATAGCCCTCGTGTGCTTTGCCGTAACTGAATAATCCAAATCCAATCCGAGTGGCAACAATAAACTATCGGCGACGCACACTTTAGCCGCTTATATATATAAAGAAAAGAAGATATACATAAAATTTTTTATAACCCATTCACAGAGATTCAGAAATATGACATCAAAGAATTAAGATTTATATATATGTAGTAATGCAATTTTGAAGGAAGATATAAACAATTAACTTTCTAGTCATGGCCCAAAAAACTGCGGCGTAGATGATTGGAAATTACTGTCTAGTGGAACGGTCGGTTGAAATTTCGGAAGGAGCACTACCCAGCTTGATAGTTAAACATCATTTATTTTTTATGACGAATTTCCTAGTACATATCTTCATAATTGGTAGAAAACCATGGCTGCTAAAGGCGCCCCACAATTTTAGACATGCCATTACTCAAATAACGGAGAATAGCTAAGCTGTCAGCAAGAAAAGAGAGGCGAAGAAGAGAGAGAAAATACGCAATTAGTAGCTATTTATGTTAGAAGTTTAGCTTTAATCTGATTGTCTGAAGGATTATGAGCAATGCGGTGGTTACAGAATTAATTTCTAGATATGGTTCGTTTTCAAATTAAAAAAAGGGCATTAAGAACTAATTTAAAGTGTAATCTAATGTTACGTATTTTTTTAAATTTTACATGTGGAATATCTCTTCTTCTCTACATATAATAAAGAGTCTGTCTGTGTGTGTGTGTGTCTTTCGTTCGCGCTGCGCGTAAGCTAATAAACCCACGGCTACGAAATTTGGTACATAGGAACATCTAGACAAGAGCCAGTGCATCTCGAAGCGATTTTTTCGAAATTCGAATTCGAATTTTTTTTATTTCATGTTTTGTGACGAAATCGCGTCATTTTGAGACATAATGGGCTATAGGAAAGCGAGATTTTACTCTATACACTCCATTTTCACATCGTCATGAAACGTAGGCACTTACCTATTTTACGAACTTTACGAAATAAATTTCGTGTTTCAATAAATCGATTAAATACGAATTTATTTAACAAAGGGAGCTTAACACCTTTTCAACGGGTGTTTTTCTAAAAACGTTTATTATTCTTTGATTTTTGGACACGTTAAACTTTCATCCTTGCGACTGCTTTTACAATAAGAATTTTGGAAAAATGATAATATTTTGTATTTTTAAAAGATTTTTTAAATGAAGCTTCCGAGTACACTTCTCACATCTCACATCTTTAAAAATGTGATTTTGGCAATAATTTTTCCGTCTTATTGTTGTTGATAGATTTTTGATGAAATCGCATCATTTTGAATAGTTTCATTCTTTTAGAAATCTGGGTTTGGCAACGATTTTTCATCGTATTTCTTATGTAACTGTTTTTAAGAGATTATTATTATTTTAAGAGCATATTTCATTGTCATTTATAATACATTTTTATTGATTTTTACTTCCTTGTACGAAGTAAAAAGGAAGTATTGTAATCGCGAAAAGCTTCAGGCAGCATATTTCAACGAAAATATCCACTTTGACCGCTTTCGAATGCAATTTAACGATGTTTTTGCGTGATATCTGTTCGTAAGAACATAATAAAAGACTCTTTTCCTCAAAAAAAAAAAAAAAAAAAAAAAAAAAAAAAAAAAACTAAACTGCTTTAAAATTAATTCTGAAGAGAATTTTTCGTGGCGTCTGTACGAACGTATGTACGTACGTATCTCCCATAACTCAAAAACGAGTAGCCTCAGAACGTTGAAATTTTGTATATAGGACTATTATAACATGTAGATGTTCACCTCGTATTTTGGTTTCATTCGGCCGAGCCAAACGTATATAAATATATTTATAAATATATCCACTCTGTTACTCGTTACGGTTTTATGCCTTTAGTAAATCTGTATGCAATATTTTTAGAATTATCAACAATTTAAAAGTTGTTTAAGTGCTGCTAAGCCTATTTTGATGGCGGCCATTGCTTGTTTACATTTGAAACAGCTGAGTAGTGAATTTGTTGCCAATCTAGAGAAACGTAGCTTCGCAACAACAAAGATAAACGCCTTCATTTATTATTGCGATTTAAATCATGCTTAATCCTTTCTGGAATTTTTTCGAGGAAATATGTGTTTAAGATTTACTTAATTTTTAATAATTTAATTTTTAATAATTAGTAATTTTTAGTAGAGATATTTTGAGTTTTTATGTATTTTTGCTTTGTCGCGGAGTGAGAACTGAATTAATTGAATGAGAAATACTCAATCGTCTGTGAAAAACTGTTTCTTTTTTGTTTTGTTTGCTTCATTTCTTTTATACATCGTTCTAGCTTTATTGTAGTACTTGAATAGAACATGTGGCAACGATTAGATAATTCTTTAAATGATACAAATTTTGTGCATTCTGAGTTATAATATGAACGAAATATAACACTGTTAAGTGAACCTAGCGCCAGATTGTCGCTATGGTAAACAAATAGAGTGAATTTTAAAGAATGCACTTATTCTACTGTGGTTTATGCGCTGTCGGCGAAGTGGATATAATTAAATCCAATAAGTTTAAACAAAATGCAAGAAAAAATGCGTATAATTTTAATATTCCGTACAAGGAAGTCATGTGGCGTACACATCAGATTTTTTAATTTCGCAATAGTGTTTAACAGGCTGGCAAAAATATTCAGTGAACTAATTCTGGACAATTTTCATATTCATCCATGATTTCTTATTAGACTCTCAAACTACAGGTAAAGTTGATTTGGATATTCCTTTTATCGCTTTTGGGGGTTTTGGAATGGTAAACAAGTAGTGGTTTTAATATGAAATCTCCACTTGCATTATCACCCAGTAGAAGTGTTAAGCGATCTTTTGCAGCTTTAAATCCAGGTGCACGTTTTTCTTCATGGGATACAAATGTTCGTTTTGACATTCTTTTCCAAAATAGGCCTGTTTCATCAATATTAAAAACCAATTCTGGAGGATAGTTTCTTCGTTCAGTTATAGTTTTTAATGCCGCTGGGAATTCAGCCGCCGCTTTCGTATCACCACTTGCTACTTCTCCTGTAATCTGTATGTTATGAAGATTATTTCGATGATTAAATTTATTAAACCATCCTAGACTTGCAACGAAAGTGTCACTTGCCTCCACCTGAATGTAATTAAACATTCTTCTTGCTTTTTCCATTATAATAACATATTGCGTTCAATTTCGTCGTCAATCCGTCGTCGTCTTCTACTGGGTGACTTAATGACATATTGCGTTCAATTTCGTCGTCAATCCATATAGAAAGTCGTTTTTCCCTTTTCTCTATCGTATTATTTCTAGAACGGGTAATTCTAGTTGCAGATCTTGTCGTTGTTGCAGTTGCCAATGACAGTATTTTTTCTTTATACTTAAGAATAGTCCTTATTGTTGAAGTTGCCAAAATCAGTGCAGCACCAGTTTGAGACTGCAGTATCTAATCTGCAGTATCTAATCACTTGCATTTTAGTTTCTAGTGAAATGCTTTTTCTTGTTGCTTTATTTTCGTGTTTTTTATTATCACCCATGATAAAAACTAAAAATCCTAATATTTGTCACTATATCAATCGTTATATTATATAATTTATACTTAGAATAACATCAACAAATGTTTGAAACGATAAAAAATACGTTCGTATAACACCGCAGGAAAGAACAAACACGGATAAATGCTTCGGATATCGGAAAGCCTAACGCTGCGTACAATTTCGGGGAATCTCACAATTCAAATAAAAGAGCGTTAAACCGAAAGAGCGCTAAACGAAACAGCGTTAAGCGGGGTCTTACTATATAGCGTTTTAGATTTATTATAGTATTTGAATAGAACTTGAGGTAATTCTTCAGATGATATAATTTTTGTGCCCTCTGAGTTATAAAATGAATGAGATGTAATACTGTTAAGGGAACCTAGCGCCGAAGTGTCGGTATGGTAAATAAATATAGTGAACTTTAAAGAGAGCATTTATTCTATTGGGGTTTGTGCGCTACCCACGAAGTAGATTGAATCCAAAATTCGTTAACTGTTAATTCAATATGTTTAGATGAAATGCAGGAAAATTGCATATAATTTAATATTCCGTTATTCCGTACAAGGAAGTCATGTGGTGTATACATCAGATTTTTTTTCTTAAAGTTGTTGTGCAGAGTAAACTTCTGCGCGGAATTTTATGTTTTTTGAGTTGCTTTCATGTTATTTTTTGCTTATTTCACTGTTTGTAAGATATTGAAAAGTTTTGCGTGATTTGTTTTCTTCAACGGAAAGTTGATTAATTTTTTATTAGGATAATTAATATTTATATTAAGGGATATAGCTTATTTCATTGTAATTTTTTTCTCTTGAAAATATAAGATAAAATATCATTAATTATACTTTGCTTTTCAGAATTTTTTGTTTTTGTATTCTTTTACGTTATTTATTGCTCATTTCACTGTTTTTAAGATATTGAAAAGTTTTGAGTGATTGTTTTAGGAAACAAAGTTCTTAACCTCCTTTATACCATTTGAGTTCTTACGATTTTGGAAAAGGAAGTTGGTTAATTTATTTATTAGGATAATTAATATTTGTATTAAGGGGTATTGCTTATTTCATTGTAATTTTGTTATACGTAATAACATTTTTATGAAGTTGTTCTGCAGAGTAAAATTCTACGCAGTTTTTAAATTTAACGTTTAGGGTTCCCTTCAGCCATTTTTCCGGTATATTTAAAAGCCAGACGAAGGCTGTCAGCGAAGCTCCTAGTGTAAGATAAAACACATGTAAATCAAAATGATAATTTAAATTAACGGCAACCCTTTAGTTGTCTATCTCTATTCTAAAAATTGCAATAACTCCTCTGGATTGCGTCATTTCTAGATTAAGCTATGCCACAAAGCTTTCGTAACGCTGATGACGTAGTTATTTTCAGAACCTAAACTATGAGAATTAAAAACCATTCTAATTAAACCCAAACCTTTCTCTTAACACACTGCCAATATTGTATAAATCGCAGTTAGCTTGCAGCTCTGTTGCCCGCTGAAGTTGTTTCATTTTGCTGGGCATTGTCGTGCCGCTACGCCGCTATTTAAAATGTGATACTCTATACGAAATTGTGGTGTGCGTATTAAGATCATGACCACGTGTAAAGAGAAATAGTCACGATAATTAGTTCGTGTCCAGCAATAAAGATTATGCTTAGTCTGGCAATGTCTGTCTACAAGTCTGTTTTTCGAATGACATCTTTCTAATTATGCAGTAGTTTGTCCAGGTTTATATATATACGATTGTATATTGTATTTATTACATAATTTAAACTTACTTCCTTTATTTATTATCTGTAACAGTTTAAAATGTTTTCATAACGAGGGGCGATAATTATTAAAACATAATATTGGATACGAAACATATGATAATATTGATCATATTATACTTCAGAAAATGAGAAAATGCAATTATAGAATGTTAATTAAACCTCTTAAGTTAATTTTGCGGGCATAATTCCATAACATACGAACTTACAAGATGAAAAATTTTAATTTGATTGATGTGAATTTATTGAATATAATTTTTAATTTGATATTTTTATTTCAGAATTTTTACATTCGCTTACAGCATATGTTTCAATATTCCAAATTACGGTAGGTATAAACAATTTTGAAACAGAAAATGGCTTTTTATTTAGATTTCCATCAAATGAATGTTAAATAAAGACTCACCTGAATTGATAACGAATATAAGTTAACAATCAATATAATGTAGTACCTCAATATTTTAACGAAATTTATTTTTTTGCTTTGAGAAAACTGAGAATTGCTTTCTCCTCTGAGGAAAAGTAACAAGCTTATAATCTTACGAATGTTTAAATTCGGAATTTTTAGTCACACTTGAGGTCTAATTTTTTTTCTTGTATAGTTTTGAATCATATTTAATAACATTTAACACATTAAATAATTATGATATGAATCATAAAATAATTTGAGCTGGAGAAATTCCTACATGTTTTTTTTTTCTATTTTTGAATATATTGATATTTTTTGAAAGTTTGTTTTGAGAAGAATTTAATTAATTTTTTGAAGGATATTGAAACCAAATTAATTGTTTTATATGAATTTTTGTTTGTTTGTTTGAGTGTGAATCTGAATGTTAACCTTGATAAATAAGATTAAAGCACTAAACTGTTATAATTCCTTTTTTGATATGCTATATATATATCAAAAATATATATGATATATATATTTTTGATATATATATGATATATATATTTTTGATATATATATATATATATATGATATATATATTTTTGATATATATATATATATATGATATATATATTTTTGATATGCTTTCGTAATGATAGCCTATTATTGGCTAAGTAGTAAGATCACGGAACACCGGTAGTCCAGCTCGAGTTCAAATTGCTGTGAATGGGCTGGCTGCATTTTGAGAGCTTTTCCCATGTATTACATGGATATGAAAAATTTTCTCTTAAAATGTGCTCCAAGAAAACATTTCACCGTCTAGGAATAGCCCTTTGTGTATGCTTTGCTTTAACTAAAATAAAACTGAAATAATAACGATTAAAATATTCCTCTTAAATACATAATTTAAGGAATATTTCCAACATGCGAAGTACTGCTTGTAATGAAGCTTATTTTGCACGCTACAAATTTTTTAGGTTATTCGAAATTGTAGAAAACTACTTTAACATTTATAATTCCTGTGAATTTGGTCGGTGGATAACATTCTGTGAAAGGCACGGTCATTTGATGAGCATATCTGGACAGGATGCAGATTACTGTGTTCTCTTTATAAGATGTAATTCTTCAGTAAGTTAGGCTATCTCTCTGCTTTAAATGATATTTACCCATTACTGGGTGACACTTTATCGTAACATGGATTGGAAAAGGATCACCATTTTTTTTCTTTGAATATTGCCAAATCTTATTCCATCTAACGTTTTAATGCTTCGAATTGCTAAAAATATATAATAAGGTATATAAAAAGCTGACACGTGTATAAAAAGCTGACACCCGATCAGGGAAAATTTCACATGAAAACTTGGGTTGTAATCATGAAAATGTAAAACTGAAAATATTTCTTAAAGCATGAACTGGCTGGATATTCGTCGCGCCACCAGTGAAGTTCTAACTGAAGTCATTTAAATGTGCATAAGAACATCGCTATAAAATCATGGCAGATCAAGAAAAGTAAGATAAACCCTCTTTTCAATACTTCTTGCTGCTTTACAGCAAAATTGAGGATTTTGCAGTGATATTTGATATTTTTTCTCACCATTTCTCTATATATTAGTATATTGAGAACCCCCTAACAGCGAACTTGAGACGATTGAACATTCAGCTACTTAAGATTAAAGGAAAAGTAGTCTCTTGATTACACACGACACACACGAAGTAGTTCATATTAAGACAAAAGTCGAGATAAGATTTGATATCTCCTCGATTCAGTGACACAATAGCAGTAAACACTCGAATTTCGACGCCGCTTGCACCTGTATGGAAGGTGAGACGAAACCACCGCACGAACTTCTACTCGCCCAGCTGGTAAGTTTCGGTCTTTTCTACTTGTTGTTAACCGATAATCGTTTTCTAGCCGCCTGTAATACTTTTCGTGAAACGAATTGCATTTTCATTTCTTCTCAAATTTTATTTTTGTTTATTCCCCTCCCCAAGTCGACACAGTTAATTTACGATAAACACTTACAGAAACAGAGTAATAATAATACAAATTGAAATTAAGATCTAGTAAGAAATTTTAAATTCGGATTTTTGAGCCTGCATAGAATAATTCGAAGGTTAAATGAAATGTACGATGCATTTTCAGTTTCGGAAAAAAATTATCATTTGTTTCTCATCTGATATTTCAGTTTCTTTAAACACTGAAACATAGGCAAAAGTTTTATTCAGATTACGTGATTTCCTACATACGAAACTTTTTAAACTGGAACGATCACATTTATTACTTCTTGTATGAACTAAAGGAAGTACTGTAATCCCGAAAAGTTTCGGATATTATATTTTAACGAAAATATCCATTTCGACCGCTCTCGAATCTATTGCAACGATGTTTTTGCGTGGTATCTGTACGTACGGACAGAATAAAGGTCATTTTTTTTTTTCAAAATTGACTGTGGATTTAAAATGGATTCAAAAGAGATTTTTTCGCGTCATCTGTACATATAGGTATGTATCCTGCATGAATCAAAAGCGAATAGCGTTAGAATTCGTAGAACGAGTAGCCTTGAAATTTTGTACTCGTATTTGGGACTGCTATAATATGTAGCTTTGCACCTTTCTTTTTGATTGCAGCTGGCAGCACCATATATAAATATATATATCCATTCTCTTACCTGGCTTGGTGAGCTCAGTTTTTTATTGTTATTTGTTGGTAAATTGTCCATTTTTTGCATTAAAATTGATTGAAAGATGTTTTTCTTATGTTCGGTTAGAGTTTTTATGGCTTTAGTTAATCTGCATGCAATAAATGTAGAATTATAGACAGTTTAAAATTTTAAATTAAGCCTAGCGAGGCCGCCATTTGTTTACATTTGAAACTCTAGAATAGTGAATTAAGTCATTTTATGCACGGACTTCATGGTCTTTCTGCCGAGTGGGACCAAATTTAAACTTTCAATTTTTGTACCAAAAAAATCAATTTTCATGCCTGCTTGAACATGAATTGCTTGTGTTCGCGTAGAAACCCCGATTTTAATTGTAAAGAAAAATTTAACTGTTTTTAACTGTATTAGGAGTTTTATATTTTTCTATACATTACTTTCTGTATTTTTCTGTACTTGATGAAGATGATTTGAGTTTTTATGTATTTTTGCCGTGGCACGAAAAACTGAATTAATGGAATGAGAAATATATTTCCAATGAAATTGGAGGAAATAGATTTAAATGAAATGCAGCAAAAAGTGGGTATCATTTAATAGGCCATACAAGGAAATCACGGGTGGTGTCCACATCAGATATTTTAATTAATAAGTGCAGGTCTTTACCAATGTTTATTTCATTATGTAACTTCGCAGTTAAAATACGTATAAATAGAAAAATAGAAACATTAAAAATGCATAAGCATGCGAATAAAGTATGAAACTGATAACAAATTGCGAAAACTTAAAAAATTTTAAATATAAAATAATACAGAATATTTGCCATTGTTCCCATTCCTAAATAAAATTAGTTCACCAGCGGCCGAGCGGTAAAGACGCTTAACACTGGTAGTTCGGTCCGAGGTTCGAATCCCGCGAACGGGCTGGCTGCATGGGCGTTTTCGTGGTTTTCCCCATGTGTAACGTGTATACGAGCCAGTTTCTCTTAGAAAGTCCTCCACGAAGGCATTCATCCCTTTAGGCAGATAGCCGTTGTGTGCTTTGCCATAATTGAATAACCCAACCCTAAATAAAATTATTTTTTAAACAATTGTATATCATTAATGATTCCATTTCATCAATCTTTATTGAAGCATCAATCTTTATTGAATGAAATGCATTGAGAAGAAATATCACAGTTTTAAATTTGTTTTAAAATCGTTCAAAATTATTGTAATATTTTATCTTAATCTGTTTAGGAACGAAACCTTTAAAGTGCCAAATTTTTATTTATTTTTTGATTAGATTTTGTTCAGTAAATGTTTTTCCAATTCAGTAAGGATTGGGAAATAATAAATAGGCAGATAGAATTTACACACCACATATGCGAACTTTGAATTAATGGCAAGCGATGAATTAAAGTATTTCATATATTGAATATATGTCGGTATTCTTACATTTATCGCAAATGTAGCAAGTTCGTCTTACACAGTTTTGTAATGATGGCTTGAAAGATTGTTAAGTGATACCTTTTTTCGGATCCAATTTATACAGATTAGTCTGATTTTCGGAAACAAAGCAATAATTATCAACTAAAATAAAATATTATTTTATTACTGTCATACGAAGGAGTATTTTGTTTTAAGGCGACTTGGCATTGTATGACTATCCTATATATTTTTAATTTGTTTTGTTTGAAGTAAGTTTAATTAAAAGCAACTAAAGTTATACATACGTGTCAGCGTACCTAAAGAAGTTAAATAATCGAATAATACACATATGAAAAGGCGCAGTTCAGTTGAACATATGGGAAAAGACTGCTCAGTTTGACTGGTAAATGTAACTTTTAGATCCTAGAAATTATGATTTGGGAGGTAAATGAAAAGAATTTAAAGTCTCGAATTTTCTAAAAATTTCGCTTGAGAACCAAGAATACTGAAATAGGATTAAAAACATTTCTCGAGAATCCGGGTCTCAGATTTTCCTGTGAAACTTGAAATTTCTCTAGAGGGAATTCTCGTGTATCGTCCTTACTAAATTGTTTATTGATTCAGTTTATCTCGCTTATATCGAAGCATAACAACATCGATAACAAGACAAACACATCGAAGACTTGTAGATCGGACATATTCGTGTATTGACCTGCATTTATGTTGAAAGTTAAAAACAATTTTTATATAAAAGTTTTAAAATATCTAGAAAATCTACATTTTACCACAGCATTATTACATTTATCTATTCTTATAAGATAAAAATTCTTTTACAGCTTTAAAGATGAACGACAACTGCGAAAAAACATCTACATATTTCAGAGTTCTAGTACACTGTTAAAAGACTGTGTTTGCCATAACTGGCGGTATTTTTTATAACATAAAAATTTACCCTATAATATGCAGCTAAGTACAAGCTTTACAAATATTTCTTAGTTCCATTTTTAATTTAAAGGTTGATTTTATGTTTTACAGATTCTAAGTGCTGTAGTCATTGGACTTGTTGGACATGCAACGTATGAAAGTTTTTATGAAATCCCGAAATATATCTTTGAATTTCAACGTGGAAAACATTATTTCAGATTGGCAGGAAAAACTCGCATCGTGATCAATGAATTCAGGTTATCCCCTACCGTACTTTTCCTTCTGACGGTGAGCTCTGCGTATTTCTTCGTCAACTTGTTATTGTATTGTACGAACAAGATTATCAAGGAACCCATTTTAAATGGAACAATTTTGGTAAGTAAGAAAACATAATGGGTTTTACAGCGTTAAAAGTAATAGTAGTATGGGATGGGTCCTCATGAGAATAAGCAGCTATCTGAAGATAGATGCAGTTATCTTTTGCTTTTAGGACATTTACTAAATGATAATCGGACTCAAAAATAAAGATGGAAAATAAAATATTATTTATTCTTACGTCTATTTTGGTATGAAATGAAAAAACAAATTGAAAAAACAAGTTTCTTATTTCTTCATTACATGTATTTGATGCTGGTAGCGCTGATAACACGACATACATGATCCTCACTTGCATATTATGCACTAGTTCAGAAATCTCTACGTGTCACTAATGATATCCACATCGAATGCTTGCGAAGATGAAATATAAAAATGATCCCTGTTTCTTCATTTCGCATTAAAATGTCCGCAGTGTATGGAAAAAAATGTTTTTACTTTTCGCTATTATTTTTGAGTCACCCTGTATAATCTAAAACTTCAAAAGAATGTCTCTTAATTCAAAACACGCACAAGTTTGTAAGGATCTTAAGTTTTACTAACGTTTATTTTATTTTAAAACTTTACTATCACTTCTTATGTTCCACTTCCGTCCAGAATTAAATGTGTTAACTTGTTTATGCAAATTGTACTTGCTAACGCCCAAGTATTTAAGTTGTGGCTCTTTGCCAAGACTTAGAGAGGGAGAGGGAGGAAGTGAGCCGCCTTGCCACTGCATTACACGCGAGTTTTCAATCAGCTGCTGTCCGCCTTTAAGTCCAGAGGTTTAGTCCTCTTAATGTTTTAAAACGTATTGTAGTTTCGACAGTTTGCGTACTACATACATAATAATTTAAAAGGCCAGTCTTAGCGTTAGGCATTTGTAAACTAATTCAAAATTAGCTCTTATTTAAAATTTTAGTTAGTAGTTTCATATTTTTACGTTCAGACCACAAGTGGTTGGTCTCTATATCCCGAAGTGAGGGAGCACCAGTAATCTTATAGAGAATAAAGGGTAAAATCAACTCTTCCTGCTTGTGTTGTCCATTCCACATCTGTTTTGAACATAGCTTGAGTAAGCTCCCTGTTCCCGTTCAGGACACATCATGTTTCCTAAGCAAATCAAGAGAAACACAGGTCCTGATAAGTTCACTGTATTATGTAACATAATAAAAGGATTTCTTAGGTAAACTAGTTTTACGCTGCTTTATTTAACGTTTTTTCTCCGTTTGTTGATTTTTTTAATTTGTTTCTTTGAGCAAAATATTGTAGTTTTTAATTTCCTTCCATAGACTTGATTTTTCTTGAAATGTTTCACCCATACAGATGGCCTTCGACTTTCGCACATAATTGGTTCCTGACGTGTGTGAGAATGTTTTGTTCGAAAGTAGAGAGGCGTAAAAAATAAGGATAAAAAACAGTGTTTTAAAACATTTATTTATCTATTATATACGCACAAAATAATGAAGTTAATGAGGCGTGTTTAAGTGTTTTCAGGCATTTTCTTTATACTTTTGTCAAGAGTTAGTTGAGTGCCATCTTTTTTTCTCTTTTCTTGATAAAGATTTTTATAACATGGGGTGTCTCTCTCAATCGCCCTACGCACCTGAGATATACGTTCTTCATTGGGATCACATTCTTCCATAATAGTAAAAAATTTGTCAAGATACGTGAAAGTTTCATTCATATTTTTAATTGTCAAAGTCTAAACGTTTTTAATCAGCTTCTTCTTCCTCACTTTACTGTGTATTTCATTGTTGCTCAATTAAGTATTCATTTGAGATTGCTACTGAGAGAGATTCAATCAACTTATTAACATTGATGACGTTTTAGTTCATTCATTAGGCAAGTTATTTCATCTGTTATAACTTCCAAAGTTTCTTCAAAATTTATACTCATCATTTGTGGACATAATTTTTTCCAGGAATCTTTCATTGTATACTCTTTTATTTCAACCCATGATTCTCAGATTTGTTTACTGCATTAGATAAATGATAATGCTTTTAAAAATCTCTTAATGTAGGAACATCTTCCCTGCCAGATGTCTTGACGGTCTGATTCCTTATTGCCCTCATATTATATCGTTCAAGTGGTGTTCTGGTGCATTGTCTAAGATTAAAATTTTTAATTATTATTTTTACAATATTGCTTAACTGTTGGAACGAAATGGAAAAAAAAAACCAATCTTTAAATATTAACGAAGTAATCCAGGCATATTTTTCTATTTGCTTTCCAAATGATTGGAAGCAATGCTTTAGTTCTACCTTTCAAAGCTCTGAGTTTTTCCGCTTGTCAAAATGCCAAATGCTTCAATTTTAACCTACCAGCTAAGTTTCCACCAAGAAGAATGTCAATCGGTTTTTGGAAGTTTTATGTCTTGGGGCAACTGATTATTTTATCGATAAAAATGTACGATTAAGCATTTTTCTCCAAAATAAACCCTGTCATTTATATTGAATATTTGACCAGGAAGCCAGCTTTTGTAGGAATTAATGTGTGTCTGTGATGTATATTACCCCAGCTCTACTCTCTTCACGGCCGCAGATGCCTCTGCTGGCGACAGTAAGAGGAAACAAATACACAAGAAAACGAGTGAGCCGAAAACTGTTGACGTGCGGGCAAATTTTTTCATTATCGACAGAATTATTTAAAAAAACTTAAATTAAAAATTTTGCGAAATAGCGAACTGTGCGAAAATCGAGGTTAGCCTGTACTTTTTTATGAAGACAAAACAGTATTCCTAAGGAATGCTTTGAAAATTGGAGATTCATTTTTTATTTTGTGCTGAATTTTCTCACATATCTTTGCATAATGATCAAACAAATCATCACAGAATTTTGATTTTTGCATCTTCGAATAGACAGACAAATAATCTTCCAGATACAGAATTATTTCGGAATTTTTAACACGATGAGCCGAATTTTGGAGGTAAGGGTTAACGCACTTGCTAGCAATAATTTATTTTTAAACAGAGATTTCATTTTTCTTTGTAAGGTATGTTATTATTCTAAGTAAAGACCTCTAAGTAAAACAGAAATTTATGCAAATTAAATGTACATTTTAAGTCATCGGAAAAATTGAAAAATCTCGAAGAAATGATGACGTCACGCGTATTTTATTGCTCCCTTTATCTAAAAAAATTAATTTCCACATTTAGAGGTAGTGATTTTCCTTTTTACTATTCGGCAGTTTACAAATTTATTTCATAAAATTATGAAATAAAATACAGTTTTAAATAAATTTAAAGTGGAAAAAAGTTTTATTTAGCTGTTAAAATATGCTTATTTATAGATGACATGACCGGACTAAAGTCATGAGTTTCCCGTATATAAATTATATTAAGATTTAATTTCAAGGAATACTAAGCGATGGAAAAGAAGAGACATACACTGACTACCAATAAGTATTTGGACACCTATGCAAATGACGATATCTGCGGTCCTAAGTTACGTCACGGACTCCGCCGGTATATATCGTGTAGGAAACAGCATCGGCTTTAGTCGCATGCAAGAAGCCTCGCAGTTCGGAGCTCTCTGATTTCGAGAAGAGTATAATTATCGGGTATCACAAATGTGGCGATCCTTAAGAGACATATCTAGCGATCTGAAGTACCCAAAATCAACAGCGGCCTATGTGATTAAGAAGTGAAAGGTGAGCGGTGATGATGTGCTCCGAGTCGGCAGACCAACGAAACTAGGAGATAGAGACCGACGAGTGCTGTCGGAAGAACCGCATCCAACCGATGGCCCTCATCCGCGAGGAGTTTCAACAGGCATCCGGGAGTATTGTTTCAATGAATACCATCCGTAAGGAAGCACATCTGCTTGGTTTTCATGGTCGTGCTGCTGCCCATAAGCCTTTGATCACAAAAGTCCAAACGCGCTGCCCCGTTAATGTGATGCAAAGAACATCGAAATTGGACCGTAGATCAGTAGAAATGGGTTCTTTGGAGTGACGAATCAAGGTTCACCCTTTACCGTTCGGATGGCAGGGTCTGAGTCTGGCGTCTACCTGGAGAACGTCTCTTGCCAGAATGCATTTTGCCAACAGTCAAGTTCGGCGGAGGTGGAATTATGGTCTGGGGGTGTTTCTCCTGGTATGGGCTGGAACCCTTGGTCCCCATTCATGGTAAGCTCAACTCCGATGCCTACTGCACTATTTTGGATGACAATGTGCTTCCTACGTTGTGGCAGTTTTACGGGTTGGACCCCTGATACTTTCAGGACGACAATGCCAGTTGTCATGTTTCGACGTTAACCAAGGCTTGGTATGGTGTCAATGGAGTTCATTGAATGGACTGGCCTGCCCAGAATCCAGACATGAACCCTATCGAGAACCTCTGAGACGAGTTGCATCGCCGAATTCAGGGGTGCACTACCCGTGCAAAATCGGTGAAGGAACTTCTATGTCTTCTCCAAGCCGAGTGGAAGAAAATACCACTAGCTGTCATACAAAGACTTGTGTAAAGTATGCCCCGGAGGGTCCACGATGTAATTACCTCTCGTGGAGGCTCTACCAACTATTGATTTTGAATAAAGTTGTTTTTTCTTTTCTATCGCAGGTGTCCAAATACTTATTGGTAGTCAGTGTATTTATGAATTATTACACCGAGTTCGCTTAAACCTTTCCTTGACAGTTTTGATTTAGCTTGATCTTTCACTGTTAGCAAACCCACGACTTAAAACTAATTTTTAAATGGTATGGTTATATTTAAATTCAACAGAAAGTAAAAAAAAAAATTAGTCTCTATATATGCTTAGTCACATTGTAGAGTCATTAGGATTTTTGAAGCAAGAAACATACAAAATAAGCAATGCCCTCGCCGGGACTCGAACCTGGACCTCTCGAATACGCGCCGAGTGTTCTACCCTTACAACGAAGAAATGCAGAAGGGAGGGAGAAAATACATTATATACTCACTCTTTTAAAGGGCGACTGGGGATTAGGGTACCCAATATATGAAATTAAAAGTATCTATATATTTTATCATCTACGTTCGCAGGGTCCATCTCCAAGACAGTTCAATTGTAGCATACAAATGAATTCAAGAAGATAAAGCTGTTGATCAGCCTTCTCATATTTACTATCATCGAGTAACCTTCTACAAGATGAAAAACATCACTGAATATAATTTCGGTGCATAAATTTAAAACTTCAATTTTAGACCAGGCCTCGGCAGCCTATGACCCGGGGGCCACCTAATGACCCATTTCATAAATTCCAGTGACCGCCTGAGTTCCAAAAATTAAGTATAATATGTAAAATAAATTACAAAGCATAAATGTAAAATCAGCATCTGAAGAATATATAAAATAATAAACCGACAATAAATAATAACAATAACATTTATGTTCGATTACAAAAGTTACTGTAACGAACATGCGTTTTAAAAAACTGTAGCACAATTTCAAGGAGAAATCGATAAATTTGGCAAACCCGATCCGTAATCCATAATTCCAAAAAATTGGCTTTTTGTCCGCATTCGGTTCAACTTATAAATGCGAGCAAATATTTTCATACATAACATTTATTTTAAGTAAAAATAGGAGCAGCTAAACTACGGAAAATTCAGATGCTTAGTCATCTTAAGACGATTAACCGTAATCCAGACTTTATTAAATAGATATCAATTCATCAGAGAAGCCAGTGATACAGAAGAGAAAATTAACTTCATTTAGTTATGTTTGTTTTTATATTGACTACAATTATAATAAATATAATTTTTGTGTTTAAATAATATCGTAATTATTTACTCAATAAAATTTATCTTATTATAAAATTTGTCTTATCATAAAACTGTTCTAAAATGAAAATACCACTAACTTGAAACGTTTTCTTAATACACAGATTTTGACCCGCAGCCCAAAAAATGTTTACCGATGCCTGTTTTATGCACTGATAATATCGAAAGCGATTCTTGTTAATGATGAGCAGAATTTCCATAGTTAAATTGCCTTACTGTCATCCTTTAATATACTATAATTACTTATTAATTACGTATGCAGTAATTCAGGATTTTACTTACTCGACGCTAGTTCAAGAATATTATTTTATTACAGTTATCATGATTTCTTTTATCTGGAATGATTAACTACATATACATGAACCAAAAGAATTTCATGACTTCATTTCGAATTAAATTTTTGATTCATTTGCATCTTTTAAAAATATATAGTTGGAAAAATAATTTTTAAACAATAAGAATAAAAAAAAAATTATCGTGTGTATTTTTCTTTCAGATTTTAATGCAGGATGTAGTATTTTGCTTTCTGATGTTTGCCTGCAGTATTGCAGCCGTTGCTTATCCTGGTGAAAGAGCTACAGGATCCAGAGAGACTGAAATCATAATAGCATCGGTAACATATTATTACATTAGTCAATAATAACTATAAATTTTCAAATCATTATTGATATCTAAGCGTGTCAATCTCTTTAAATAATTAGCGTTCTTCAGGTACACGAAATGAATAGAATTTTTGTACCCTTGCATTTGAAAAATTCAATTCCGTTTTCTATTGAATTTCTAACCCACTTAATTAAAAACATATCTAGAAATCAATAAATTTTTGTTCTCTCTTTTCCGAAAATAAGTAGAAGGCCTTTAATAATTTATGACATTTAATAACTGTGAAGCAATATTGGATGAGATCACGGAAGAAATTCATATAATAGGTTAAGGATTGTACGAGGAAGTGCCACTGAATTAGAGAAGCCTCATCAGAAAGATTCGCTGCTGCTTTGGACTTGATAACGGCTGCCACACGACAAGGCAGAGAAATTTAACAAATCGACAGAAGTGCTCCATATGTATAGCTTGGCAAAGATCTTCTAGATTTTGCCTTAAGTCAGTTAAAGACAGTTCTGTGTGCCTGCAAAACTTTTTCCAGACTTTCCCAAAATAGTGGGAGAGCATTTTGGTGGCCATTTCAGTTGGCAGAATTCATGGAAAGCTCCTTGAACCAGATGGTTGAAACCGGTATCGGTGGCAGGAGTAGTTATTCTGCTGGTAATGTAATTGGGCGCAGCCCTTCCCATCTAATCTTCTAAAGGATGGTCCTATGACTAAACAGCCTTAAATTAAGTTTTACTATTAGATATTTTCAACATCCAAAAAACTAATGCCAGTACCCGGAGTAATCAAAAAGTTAGCAAAACACAAAAAATAAAAATCATAAGTATTTATCAGTAAGAAGCCCAATAAAATAAAATAAAACTGAATATGACACAGCACAAAAGAAAAGCACAGAGAAAGTAAGAAAAAATGACCTAGGAAAGTGTTTGTTAAGATGAAAGAAGAAATAATATACACCTCAAAAACATAGACGTGAAGAACACCATCAGAAATTACTTTAAAGTAATGCCAGCCGCCTGGCGATTATCATTCATGTGATTCAATATTTAATTAATAATTTGCATAATTTTCTAAAATCATTAAGAGTTCTAAAAGATCATTAAAGTCGGTATTAAAATCCCGCAATTTTCAATAAAGTATCGCCCATCCCCCACCTCAGTATCACCCTACTGGTATATTTCATTTCCATACGGTTCGAAGAAAAGCATGAATTAATGTAAGTGATTGTTCAGTAGATCAACGTATACTTAGATGCAGGAAGGATGCTCAGTACAAGTAACAAATGTCCCAAATTTTGCAAAGAAGGAAAAAAAAAACTTCAAACCATCACCGAGTTGAAATTACCTTGTACAGTTACAATTTGGTATGGTGGACCCATGGCTTCAGTGTAGCTGGCGTTATGTTTATAAACTACTATCAGCGTGATGAATTCGGGATCGAGACTCACCAATCCATGCTACTCGTTCCCAGTCGTCAAAGACCCAATCATGTTGTTTCTGTGACGAATCTAGGACTTTCACCGTGGTCGTTTCGCCGTCGGGACGTTTCGCCATAATACTTCTCTTTACATGACTGTATTATGTCTTTCCTTCTTGCCGTATTATACTCGCATTAAATTTATTTAAATTAATAATTATGTTTACCTTTTGTATACTTAATAAAGGTTGCTTTTAATATATATAGTTATTTACAAGTATGAGATATGAAGAAATTACGCATAGTTAGTTGGAAATTATGTCAGTCAAAGAGAACTGGGGCTAAACTTCTGATTTAACAAAAGTTATATTATGGATTTTAAAATCATGCGGGTACAATATTTACATGATTCGTCAAAATTTCTTGAAATTTTAATCGGCTGCTTCAGAGAAATCACTCATACAAGCAGGAAATTCACATTTTCATGAAATTTGAATGAAAAACGGAATTACTTTGGAAGCTTGTTAGCACCTTATTCTCTTAAAATTAAAAAGTCATGTGTAACGGTGTATTTCTATAAAACTGTACACAAAAATAAATTAAATTAAATTAAGTTTTTAAACTAAACAGAGTTTTTAATTTTAATCAACTTATTATGATACGGCAAGATATAATACAGTCGTGTATGAAAAAATATGTCTTGATGGCGAAACGTCCCGACGGCGAAATGGCCATGGCGAATAGTCCCATTCTCTTCTGTGATGATCAAGGTGGCAGGTTTTGATAAGTTGAATTGTCGCGAGCCTTTGGCTTCTGAAACCCATATGGTTAAGTGAACGCTGCACAGTCCTTTTATTTCCTGCACAAAATAATTGTTCTCGAGAACTGTTTTTGCGCTAACTTTGATGAAGATGATTTTTATTCATGATTAGTGGTAGTCAAGAAAATCTGGATTCACCACATTGCCCAGGAGCGAAATAAGAGAAAATAATATGTAAGTACAGTGGATCTTCCCAGTTGGACACATTCGGAACATAAATTTTCTAAGAAAGTTTTGGTCACCATTTTTTGGAATAAAGAGGAGCCTTTGCTTACCTGTTATTTGCTACACAACGCCACATTCAGAAGTGTTATGTCAACTTATTCATTCATTTCCGACGAAGGTGTTGCTTTTGAATGAAAATACGTCTTAAACAAAATTCAAGTTTCCTAGAGTGTTGTTCGATAATGTGTTCAAACTTATTCTCCTTCATTTTAATCATCCTACTAGGCTACTGACATTTTGTTTTTGTTTGTTTCAAAAGATAATTAGAACTTGTACGACTTATGCTCTGTTGATATTAATGATATTAAAGATACCGTTCAGGTTTTAGGGGTGTGAAAAACATTTCGTTTCTGCTCGAATTCGACGCGTAATAACAGAAGTTTTAAATGCATTGAAGGCTTTGTAACCAAGGAAAACTGTTGTCTACAGAAGTACTATTTTACTCTCGTAAACTGATGAATATGAGATTAAAAATTATGCAATATAATTTAAACATAAAGTCAAAAGGTTTTATCTGGATGAAAGCTAAAATTATTATGAAAATTATTTATTCCAAAAATTTTGGACTATAAAAGGAAAACCCTAGAATATAATATTCTAAGGTAATGGACATTTTAAAATCTTTTGCTTCTTTTATTCTTTTTATGAACATTTTAAGTTTAAGATTGAACTATTTTTGAAGAACATGAAAAGTAATTTAAAACAAAATCCGCAAACGTTGTTACCCAAAAAGTTATTTATTAATAAACTTGTTTGCTACCATTTGAAAAAATATTTGAAACAAAACTGGAAAAGATTCATTTACTGCTTGAATTATACTTAACTTTAATAGCACAAAATAATACGTTCATATGTATGACAGTATCTTTCTTATAGCGTATAAAATATTATGACTCCTTTTAATTAGAGCGAAAAGCCTAGAAGCCTGTCGTTTAGCTTTTAAGAGCTCAAGAAGTCACTGTTAAGACCTGATATCATGGACTGTTGCAATGTTTATTGATATCAGTTTTCTTTCTTTCAGCTATAAGTTATTATCAAATTTATTAACACAATTCCTTTTTTTTTACTGAAACACATGCATTATTATATGCTAACACACATTTCAGGATTCGCATCGGATTAAGTCAGGACCTTCTGCTATTCTTGCTTCAATTTTTAATCAAATATTGTTTTATGATAGTTTCTTGTACATTCCAAATGAAAGTTTTACTTTTCTTTTTTAATTCCAAAGACCTCTACAGTAGACATCCATATATGTACATCATTGTTTAAAAATCTTCCTTGTTTCTTAAAAGGCTGGGGATAAGTTGAAAAATCATTAAACGTTTAATGACAAACTCAGTTTAAGGGTTATTTATCTGTGTCTAACATACCTCAAATGAAAAAAAAAAAGCGTATAATCTGACTTTCGGGGAAATATGATCTATATTATCGGTTAGCAGAATATAAGTGTAAAAAAACTCTATGAAAATTTGCCAACAAGATGAATTTTTAACTCTTGCATATTGAATACCGGTCACTTTCTTTTAAAATCCCTCTATGAAAACTTTCCTCCCACAAATAAATAGCTATGGTTGTATTTAATCACAAAAATGATCCGGAATAAAACTAAGACTATGCAAATTACATATGCAAATTCAACTCACAAGCTGTCAATACTTCATTAGGAATGTAGTTATGTATAAAGATTTGATTAATTGACAGTTTATCATTCCTATGGTTAACATTTCTAACAGTGTCTTTAAAACAATAAGGAAATGATAACTTGGCTTTAACTGGTCCTGATCTTGATTTAGTATTCGTCATGTTTGTCAACTAACCGATATGAAATCAAATTCTAATTCGATAGATGAGAGAGTTATATTAGGAACTTTGGAAAAGAAACTTTAATAGCCTTCTAATTCTTAGTTTCGACATCAAATTTGGTTTGGTTTGGTTTATTTGATTATGGCAAAGTACTCGATGGCTATCTGCCGATAAGGAAGGAATGACTTCGTGGAGGACTTTATCGTATACACGTTGCATATGGGGAAAACCACGGAAACGCCCAAGCAGCCAGCCCGTTCGCCTGATTCGAACCTTGGGCCGAAACCAATGTTCAGAGTCTTTACCGCTCGGCCATTAATGGGCCTCGTTCTGTGTCAAAAGTTTTGCCTGAAATATCTCAAATTTAATACGTTCTAAGACATATTCGGCAATTTTCTATTACAATATATCGTCTGATTGCAGTTTGTTATTTTTTAAAGCAAATAAAATGTCCAAAAATATTTTCTTATTAAAAACTTGGATAATTGCACAAAATAAGGAAAGATACCTAATGAATATTTGAAAGCATACAAAACGTTTAGGCTTCAACATTTATTGTTAATTCATATTTCATAGTGTTAAATTGTATATAAACTTTTGATATTGGGATTAATAAACATTATCATGGTTTTATAATATTCTTTATTCTTATTCCAGGGAGTCTCCATGTTCTGCTGCGTCTCTTCCGGAGTTGGAGTTTATTATTCATACAGAGTCTACAAAGGACTATGACAAAGACTTCCTCTGTACGTTAGCTGAACGCACAAATGAAAGTATTCTCCTGAAAATGAACTGACTTAGACTACTGGTGGTTAAGGTTCAAGAGATTACTCAATTTGAACTTTACATCATAAGTACAGAAGTTGCTAATATTTATTTTTCAATCGTGCCAAAATGTTACTCATCACAATCCCTTGGGCTAGACTCAACTGTGTTTTAACATACAAAATAAAATCCTTCAAGACAAATGCATACATTAAACTAAATTGCTTTTTTGTTGAATAAAAAATTGCTAAAGCAAATTCAACATTTGTGCACTGAATAAAACTTAGAAATAGTAATATTTCATCTTTTGCTTCTGTGTCCAGTAAATTTGCTTAAAGCAAAATTCAACATAAAGTGGCAGCTGTTGCACTAAGAAAATAAACTGAATACTTAGAAATAAAGTAATATTTCACTTATCTTTTGCTTCTGTGGAATTCTCTAATCCGACTTTGAGTAAATTCCTCCCAGGACAGGAAAAAGGATCCCCAGAATAAATTCCTCACAGGAAAGCACTTATTTGGAGAATTCGGATTCCCCTATCCAGTCGCCGATGGCTTTCCTAGTCTTCTACCAATGGCTTTCAAATGTTTCCTTAACCGCATGGATTTTACCTGGGGTTGCAGACATTTAGGCGTAGCTGACCGATTCGTTGATGGATGATCTGCCATCGAAGATTTCCTCTTGTTCATTTTCCTGAATTTGGACCATTGACTTCATTCCTCTTCCGACGACCGCTTAAAACGAAGGTTTCGGCTTGGATGACTCTCCATTTTCCTCTTTGCTGTAAGCTTGCTGCTGGCCTTCTCTTCTTGTACTTTGTATTCGCTGACCTTGCACTTGTCGTTGTTAAGCACTCAATTGATAGTCACATCTCAAGAATCTTTGAACGTTTCTTTGATCCTTGGATAAATTTCTTGTTTTTTCCTTTCTTCTTGGTGCTTTGGTTCACTGTTCATTTGTTCCTTGATGTTTTCTCGAACCTCCGTTTTTTTTTTTTTTTTTCATTTCTCAGCCTGTTTGGCATACCTTCTTTTCTTTGCTTATCTTGTACTCTGAATGTCGAAGCTGTAGATGGCCGTTCATTGCTCAAAGTAGGGAATTCTCGCAGAGCCTCTCTTAATAGTGGCGCATCAGCATGTTCATAATAATGCTTAATGTGGTCCACATTTGCTTTTGTACTTTCACCATTTTGTCTTTTTCAAAAATACAACTGTTTGCTTCATTCTCTCAATACAGTTTCCCTGCCTTTCCTTCTGGTGCACATGAAAGAGAATGCTCAACTATTAAGACTTTATCTCTCGCCTTAAAATCAACTTCTTTCGCACGGGCCATATCCGAATTATCATTTTCTTCATCCACTAATTCTTGAATGCCTGTCATCCTAAATCTGCAGATTTCTTTTCAACAACAACAACAACAACAACAAAAAAAAAAAAAAAAAAAAAGTTTCTCGAGTGGAGTAGTCAACTTTCTTTTAAGAAATAATTCAATCAGTGTTTTCGGTGTATTGAGTTTCTTTTGTATTTGGCCTTTCTCATCGTAAATGCCAATTCATTGACGCAATCGTCCCAAACGTTTCTGATAATTTCTTACATAGCTGCGAATAATTTTAATTATATTTCTGCTCATCCGATCTGCAATATTTGACTGTGGTCGATAAGGAATTATTTTAGTGTCTAATGCGAAACATACACTTTCCCAAAAACTTAAGAAGTGATTTCCGTTGTCAGAGATTATTTTAACTCGAGGTCCTTATTTTAATACAAAATGATTTAAAATTGAATCTGCAACACATTTAGTGGAAGCTCGTTTGAGGAGAATTAATTTCACCCACTTTTCCCTATGGCTGTTATTTTGTTCGATAGCAAATCCGCTTTACAAGCTATCTCCAACAATAAATTTTGCACTTTCGAAAGAATTTAGGAACGGATTAGGAAGCTTCTCAGTACTCTGGCTGACTCAATTGTCTTGCAGTGGATTCCTGCTTATTGTGGCATCGAGGAAAATGAAAGAGCCGATTTCTTGGCAAAATAAGGAACGACTATTCTACAAACCACTAATAATTGTATGACTTTTAATTCTGCAAAAATCCTAATTAAATTAGAATTTAAGAGGAAGTTTGCCTCCTACCCATCAAATGAAGCTAAGGGAAAGGCCTGGGAATGTCTCACTAGTTCAAAGCCTTTTATTCCAGGTTTTCCTCGCCCTGTAGCCGTGGCATTATTTCGTTTTTTGACTGAGTATGATTGTCTGAATGTCCATCGTTTTAAAATTCGACTTAAAAGACTCTTCAGTCTGTACTCTTTGTAACACCGGACAATCCACGGATGAAAAGCATGTTAGCGATCCACGGATAAGAAGCACTATTATCTTTTAATTCTATTGTTCTTAAGTATTAGGAAGCAAGATCAAGACTAATGGCTTAGTGGCCAAATGTTTGCCATTTGTACAAATAAATAAATTTTTACTTACTTCGAGAGATGATCATCTATCAAAAGCAAATATCTTTTATATTTTTTCACAATGTGAGTAGGTACCTAATAGGTCAATTTCCCAATTTGATCAGGGAAATCAGCTTTTATATTAAAGGTACCCGTAAGGGCTATAATGAATATCGTTATCTAACTGAAGAAAGGTACAGGTCTTGACATATTGAGTTAAAAATTTTTGTAACTGTGGAAAATAAAGCTTCCTTTAACCTCTGGTCTGTTTACTCCGAGATCGTCTGATATGCTATCATGCAATTCATATAAAATACTTAAACTCATGGGAATAACCGATCTTAAAGTCATTATTATTACTTTATAAGGTATTTCTCCCGCCTTCTTAGTGAGCCTTCGTGGTGTAGTGGTTTGCATGCTCAGCGCGTAATTGAGAGTTCCGCGGTTCGATTCCCGGTGAAGGCGTTGCAAAGTTTTCCTCTTGCCCGCTTCCAAAAATACCTAATGTCTCTACAGTAGCGCCCGAATTAAATGACGATTCTCCTCACCCAGGATTTGGCGATTGGGTTCTCTAAAAAGTCCCAGTCGCCCTTTAAAAGGGGGAGTATATAAGGTATCTCTCCCGCCTTCTTAGCGAGCCTTCGTGGTGTAGTGGTCTGCACGCTCAGCGAGTAATTGAGAGATCCGCGGTTCGATTCCCGGCGAAGGCGTTGTTAATTTTTCATCTTGCCTGCTTCGAAAAATACCTAATGTCTCTACAACTTGTATTATTATTATTATTATTATTATTATTGATGAACAGAAGATTAGCAATAATTTTGTAATTTGAAATACTGTTCTTAATTATTTTTACATCACGCTGTTCAAATTATCTCAGTCCTTAAATACTCGCAGATATTTTAAATTCAGAGTCTGCTTGCAGTTCTGGAAGCAGACTCTGAATTTAAAATATCTGCGGGTATTTAAGCAGTTCTGCAAGCAAACTATAATAAACATTTTATGTGGTAAATCTAAAATTTTAGAAGTTAGTATGGCACATTTCCCTTCTTTCCCCTCATCATCTAGTTTAGTCCGTGACAGAACATCCACAAAACATTGCCTTTCCAGGGAGTATGTTTAATTATTAAGTTAAACATATGTATTTGCAATTTAACAACCCATCTTATGAATCTGGGTGATAAATTCTTACTGGAATACTAATTTACAGTGCCGGCATGGTTCATGTACGCGGTAATCGACATTTTCCCAAAATAAACTCGAAATTCTTGTACACTAACAGGACTCTTAAACACTAACAGGATACCTAGTAGCATAATTTCTTTCAGTTGGACTAAGTATGTTACCGTCCGCTTCAGGAAATTTCAAAACGAGAGTTTGGATTAATGCCACTTAAAATTTTTCAAGTGTCGTATTGGCTTAATGCCGACCAAGTGAATCTGGCCTTTTTCCTTTTTAAACTGAATAGAGGCTCTATATGTGGGAAAATCTTTGACGAAAGTCTTATCTTATAGCTCAGGTATAGAAATTCTTTGGCTTGGAATTTAAATTTTGCTGAATTCACTTTTAATTCTGCTTCTTTCGGAAGCAAAACATTTTCGCGTAAGTCCTGAATGTATTCATCAGTTGAGTTGGTTGTGACTATTATGTTATCTAAGTTAAAAAAAAAGTTGATTTGCCGAGGACAGGTCTTAAGATTATATCCGTGGTTCTTTGAAAAGTGGCGGGTGATCCGCATACATACATACATACAAAAGACATTCTAAGAAAGGCATAAACCTCTGATTTCGTGATAAATGCGTTTGTGGTACGTCCGATGCTTTGACACATCTGAAAATATGCAGAAGTGAGGCCTAACGATTTCATATATTTTGTGGATTTAATTTTCCTTATTATTTCCTCAATTATTGTATGGGACAAATCGGATATTTTGTTAAGCTATTTAGTTTTCTATAATCAATAGTGAAATGAAATGCTTTGAAATACGTTGGTAAGACGTTAACGTTTTTGGGCATAGTGATACCAGACTAACGTACAGACTACTTCTGTGAATTATAATTTTATTTTTCAGCATTTCTGCAATATGTGTTTCTGTGATTTTTTTCCTTGATCTTGTGAGTGGTAGGGCTTTACTGTACAAGGGAAAAGGCGATTTCATGTTTCTATCAAATGATTGATCACCTGGGACAATCTTGTGATACATTTCTTACGAACTGCTCCAATTTATTTTTCTCCTCCGGCTTCAGATCCTTTAAGTCGAAGGCTGGCGGTAGAACTTCTTCTTTTCCCACCAGTTTATTCAGCTTCAACTGCGCCATATATTACTGAAAACTGATTTTTCCGCTAGCAAACTTTGAAAAATTCTCCCTTAGAATTACACTAGCATGTAAATTTCTCATCACAATAAAAACCATAGTCTGGTGCTCATTTTTAAACTGCCGACTCAAAATTACCTTCCTTATGGATTTAGAGTGCTTGCCCTCGGCCACTGTTATCTTCGTTCTGCTAACTCAAATAATCTGTACTGTTTAAAATTTTTCCCGAAAAAAAGGTAGTGTTGAGTAATGTCAGAAAGGAGATTATTTAACGAATGACATACAGCACACATTTCAAATAGGACAAAATTAAAATGATATTTACATAAGTTTTCTAGTATTGTTCTAGATAAAGTCAGGCAACTATGATTTCACTAAATTAGAACTAATTGCTTTCACCCATAATGCCGAAAAGCTTGCCTTCCCATTCTAAAGGCTATAGGTGTCATCTTTTCTATTTCATTTCCATCTTCATTCTCTTGTTAGCTCTC